AAGGTATATTGGTGCAGTTATTACTTAATAAGGTGATATTTGACAAGATAACTGTATTGGTGGTGTTTTTGTGCGTTTACTGGCAATTTTAGTGACATCTTGCAGAAGTGGCGTGACGACGAGGTAGGGGAGTAGCAACGTTGGGTAGCAGCGAGTGCAGTCACGATTCGCACTACGAGAGTTTCGGTTTGGAAGCCTCATCAGCGCAAGCCTGCAAGTGTGTGTGGTGTAAACATAAAGGCAATAGCACTGCGGTTTTACTTTCTCTGGGAATCACAATTTCGTGCGCGAAAATGAATGCAACAGTTACTGAGCCTTCACCAGAAAATATCATTGTCAATATGCATGTCTTTCGATTTGAGTCACTTGACGTCAGCTTTGCATGAAAGTGTGCGTACCATATTCGCAACGTCTCGCTTTTAACCTTTAAAATGCCGGTTTCTGGTGTTAGGAGTTAGGACACACACGGACGTTTAGGAAGATGGGAAATGTTAGGGATGTCGGATGTGCAACGTCGAGCACAATAGTTTTGTGTTCAGTTTTATATAGATACATAATAACCGTGAAATAACGCTAATTAAAAAGCAATATTATTTTGTTTTGGCACAAAATTTTTGTGAGCCGAAAACAGGATTGTTATAATTGCAAGGAGTGCTTTAAAGGAATTGTGAGTCAATGCTTTAACTACCTCGTTGCATCACTTAAAAGGTCAAATGAAAATTGCGTCATCCAGAAAGTACCGCATCATCTGTCACTTGCGCAGTGGACTGCGTAAATTATTGGTCGATCTTCTGTTCTTGAGACAGAAACTATTAAAGAGAACCACACTAGTAAAGGCTCACAAACGCCAGTTACCGTGTTGCCTACTCCCACACCTCGCCGTAACCGCTGGTTGTTCTACACTATACGATCGTAACTACACGACCGCACAGTGTCCATTTGCAATCCATGGCCCCGTCGCGTTCTCGCACGTGCGCAAACATTTGCTGAATTTTTGCCGAATCTTTGCCGAATTTTCCTTCGAAAGTTCGGCCTATGCCGAACTTTGCCGAATCTGAAGTTCGGCAGATTCGGTCCATCACTAAAAAAAAACCCGCGTTTTTTGACGCGCAGAATGGATCATACACGATTCTACAGAAAAGCGCTTTGAGAGCGCGCGCTATCTCCGAGCCCGACCATGTGTTATGTTCTCCGCACTACTCCACACCAGATTGGTTGCACTGGCTCGTGTCATTTGCTACGGTCCATCTCAACGGCGTAGAGGAGCAGGCGCATGTTTGCCCACGTTCGGCTTTGCAGCAGAGGGGCCGTGTTTTGCCACACGTTGGTGGTTTTTCTGCCGTGTTGCCGTGTAGGGTGAGCCCGCACGCATTCGCTCGGGACGAATTATCCGATGCGGAGTCTTCCCGAGTTCAAGCTATCAAACTTTTCCTCCCATAGAAATGTATGGGTGCTCGCCGGGACTTTTGAACACGATCAAATTAAACGAAAAGTCGAATTAACCGAGGTCAAACTAACAAAAGTTTACTGTATACAGCTCATGTTTACAAACAAACTGGAGTGCCCCCAGTAGCACAGCACCGCCGCAACGCATGCGCGATGGAGTGTGGGCAAGAAGCGCCGCGTCCCGCATCCACAAACCATTGGAACGTCACGTTGTCGGCGTGTGTGGGAGTCTCGTGCTCTTTTTCGCTTTGGAATTGTCGATTCTGCACCTTCGTAGCAATTTCTTGCCGCTTTAGTTGCCTGAGCAAAATTATCGAGGCTCATTACACCGCAAAACTCTGGGTAAATAATGTGATGTGCGGCGATTCATTCGCGTGAATGCTGCAGAATGGACGCTAAAATCATGATGAGATTCTTCTCGCTATTTTCTGGCACGATGTTGCTCGAACTGCAAAAGCGTAGACAGTAGCGGCGATGCTCAACGTCGATACTGAAAATGGGAAGCAGAAACAGACCAAGTGAATTAGGCATAGCAATTGGTGACGGCCACTGGTAACAGTGATCAACATCTTGTATGTACTGTTTACACCGAGCCTACTTAAGTCTTTTGAGGCCCGCACTTCTTATTGCAATTATCAGATTAGCGCTTGGTCTACGAGCCGCTGTCGTTCTGAATAAGCAGACAACAAAAAGCGGACAAGTTTGAAAGAACAGACGACAGTTTGAACGATCAAGCGGCCGTTTGAACTTGAAGACACATTGAACGTAGTCCGCTGGTGGTTCGGACAACCTGGCGGTTTTTCCATGTTCATGTTGGAACAAAACAAATAAACCTGACGACCACAAGTATCCATGAATTCGACCCAAAGTGGTGCCTGCACAAGCAATCGTGGTTCGACAGCGTCTGGTTTTCCCTTTTCACGGCACCTATCCACGTTTTCGAACAAACAGAGGAGGCAAAAAACACATAGAAACTGATCTTCAGACCTTTCCTGACTCTTTTGGTACAACTCCATTCGTGCCATTTTGACAAAAAGGCAGGTTTTGGTCTGGTTTATTTCAAAAGAACACAGGGATGCACGTCCCGCATGGTGACTTCCGCTCATGGCTTCAGACCGGAAGTGCGCCCGATGCGCCACCACCGCAGCCTGACGTAACAGAGTTACACCTTATTTACTGTTTCTGCGTAAAAAAACATTACGCAATTTTTCAGCCGGGTTTTTCTTTTTTCTGTTTGTACGGGCATGTGTTTGAACATTATTTATGTGTGTGAGTTTGAATGTTATTTATATGTGTGGAGTTTCAACATCATTTTTTTGTGCGTGAGTCTGAACATTATTTATATCTGTGCAATTTTTGAACCTCGTTAAGGGGAAACACTGCTTCTTGAGCTTTTTTTTTTATTTACGGTTCAATCCAAATGCAATTTATAAAGCATAATCGTCTTCTTATTCTGATGACAAATATGTACTTTATTTTAAAATAGCTTAGTTAGTTCTGATAAAATTAACTATTTTATTTGAACATTTTATGGGCGAGATTTCAAAAAATTATGAAGACAAAACTCAAAAAGGAATATATCTCTGTAAACTAGGTCTACAGAATTCAATAAGGTGTAAATGAAGGCTCCATGATTATTTATAACATTTTACGGCGTTTCGAAATTTTCAATTTATAAATTAATTTTTACAATTTATACACTCCGTGCGACGCGACCGGCGCGCCGCCGCGCGGCCGTTACCGAAGGTAGGCAGTGAGAGCCCCACCGAAACGAAACCGCGCCGCGTACGTTGGTACGCATTAAAGTCGGAGCGTTGCGGTTACGCTGGGTTGACAGCATGAACTGCTGTGTCGTTAAGTGCTTCAATAGTAATGCGTCGTATCTCGTGGGGACGAAGTTTCACAGTTTTTCACCTCTACGACGTTTTGTGGGACAGCGGCCGCGATGGACCCATGCCGTATGACGCGAGAAATTTGGTCTCCCGATCATGTCTGCCACTATGTCGGCACTGCTGACATATTCTACACTGCCGCTTTGCGCTCTGCGTTTGTCTTCGTACCAGTAACACCAACATATCTCAGCTCGAACTGAAATGCCATCCCGGACTCCCGGGTATGCAGTGCGAATTTCGTTGGAAGAATGCCCTCGAAAGAAGTTTCGTCCCCATCGTACGTGTCAATGATATTTCCGGACCAGTATGGCACGCAGTCTGTACTTCATGAAGAAAGAATCGAACGGTACAAAAAGTGACAAATATGAATCTAAAGAAAACTACAATGAAACTTGGAATCTCTGGACAATCGATGTTTGACAATGAAAGGTTATGTGGTGTGCTTTCTTTTTTGATCAGCCTCCTTTTGGATGTGGAAACGTTGACACCCCAAGTCTTGAAGACAACAATTTTTTTTTCTCGGCTTTAGAGCCACCTATCGCAAAGTTGTTCGAACTGGAAGTACCGTTCACTGGTCCCTTCCTACCTGTAAAGTGCACCTTGCGGCCATGATGAGTGGTATTCTCTTGGCAGCATTTGACGGTCAAAAACGGTTCCCATTTAGTTACGCCGGCCAAAAATATTTCCACCTGGTTAAACTATGCCATCTCTTTTAGGTATAATAAGTGTTTTGTAAAGTTACGGTTGTCCAAGTACCTGTGTGCCGAAAATCAGCACCTCGCACAACCAGATTACTACATAACAGCTCACCGCAAAAGCCTTTGATGGCCAAACCGTGTGTTGGCCGGCAACTTGGTTTTCTCGGTTTGGAAGCCACCTTCCGTAAAGTTGTTTTAAGTGGAAGTACAGTGCACTAGTCCCTTCCTACCTGTAAAGTCTCCATCTCCCACGACAAGTGGTATTCTCTTGACAGCCTTTTCACAGTCAAAACCGTTCCCCATTCAGTTACGCCACCCAAACTAAATTTCCACCTGGTTTCCCTATGCCACCTATTTTTGCTATAACTTTTGTGTCAAGTTACGGTCATGTCCAAGAACCTGCGTGTCTAAATCTGCACTTTGCACAGCCCGGTTATAACACAACATTTTGGGTCCATTATGGCCATGGGATATTCCTGACAGCTTTATTCCTTTATTCGTTCGAACCATAACTTTCACACTTGCTGTCTTAATAAAACTTGGCCCACCTAGTGCACGAATTTAGTGAACATCTTACTCGCCTCCAAATATCATCGACCCACCAACTTTACAGCTACGAGCGAAACAAATTTCCCATTGAGAGCAATTATGGTGGCGGCCATCTTGCTTTTCGGAAAATTGCCCAAATCTCTTTTTCGACCGAAACTAGAGAAATTATCCCTATTGACGATTCAAACTTAATATATAAGAAGCGGAGAACAGCTAAATGCCCTTATTAAATCTGCCCCAGCACTCATGCAACGTCATCCTCAACTTATCGGCTTAAAAAGCAAAAGTTGCGCTCGTGCGCGCTTCCGCCGCCACAGTTTTGCACGCGAAAAGGCGCCGCAGGCTGCTGAGCGCGCCTCGCTGTCGAACGCCAGCTCCTCCGCTAGCGGCGCTACGCGCGTTTTTCAAAGCGCCCCCTATAGTTCTCGCACGGAGTGTATATTGGAGGTGCTAACAAAAAATGCTGATGCCTAGGTTGTTGCAATTAGACCCCTTATTGGATACCCCACTTATACACCTAACAAAGAAAGAAAGAATTAGGAAGATCGGTCGTGTACAGGCCGAGATACGGCTTCCGCAAAATAGCAAACTGCGCAAAAAGTTCATTTCGAGAACACAGCAAAAAATGTTCACGGACATATTTTTACTGCTACCCGTGGCGAACTCCACTCGGATGCGGCATCCCCGCAGATCTTGCAACATAGCTTGAGTTTTACTGCAAGTCCTTACTCGCAATCGCATTTTATGAGTTCGACATCGCCGCAAAAGCTTTACACTTCGCGAGTTGAAGAAGCGAGTTCACGACGTCGAGGCTGACGACGATGAAACTCTCTGTACTCTCGGGAGCTTCTTGATCGGCGCCCGAGACGCCGGCCATCAGGACAGCTTTCCGCGTCGTAGCGGACGTCGACGAAACTTCTTTGAGTTTTTCCTCGGCTTTTTTTTCTTTCTCGTCAATCTTGGAAGCCCTGAGCATCACCGTGTCGAGCCGCACTCGCTCGCTTGAGGTCAGGATGTCGACGGCGCCGTTGATGCGACATCTTCGTGTTCGGGCTCCCGCACCTCGTCGTCGATGTTCAGGCTCGCGGGAAGTTGAACTGCGCCGTGAATTAGCTTCCTCGGGCCCTTTTTTCGTTTTTTTCCGAACTTGTGGGCTGTATGAAACTTTCTCCGTGGAGTTGTTGTGATCTGCATGGTCAGAGACGCGCACGAGAATCAAACAAGATGGTGGATCGGAAAGAACGAGCAGACGCTTCGTAACCCTAACGGCCAGTGAGAAAGTGCCATTTGCACACGTGATCCGAATCAGCCAATCGCGTGGCAAAATTTAGTTTTTTATTTGTGCTTTGTTCTCGGCGGCCAATCGCCGTCTAGCATCGTGAATGGCGGGAGAAGAAAGAGCGGGAGCGGAGCTTTCAGATGAGACCAAGGTGCCCCCCTTCTATTGCGTTGTTCTCGAGCTACCGGCGGTCAAATTGTACTTTTTTTTTTTTTTCCTTTTTTCGGAGGAAGCATCTCCGTTTAGATACTTCAAATCAATACCCCAAAATAAATAGGGCGTATTTTGCGATATTACTTTGAGAAAAGATGCGAAAATACCTGTAGATATTAAAAAACATAATTTCAAAAAGTGTTTTTTTTTGTCATTTTTTTGTTTCAAGGAGCCGTGTCTCCCCTTAATTATATGTGTGCAAGTTTTTGAGCACATGTAGCCTAGTTCAAGAAGTTTATATGTCTGCTAATATCTGATTGTTGACGTTCATGCTTTTGATGTTGAAAACTGAGACTCCCCCTACTGTAATGCCCTTTGCGCACTGTAGGTAATAAAAAAATGTGTGGCATGCTATGGCTGCAGCACGCCACTACTGCAGAAATGGCAATTTCCCTTCTGTATTAAGAGGCGTACTGGTGCAGCGAGTCAGCCAGGGCGTCCGAGGGAGGCGTGTGACAGTGCAGTGCCAGGATGCACTTTTTTGCCCTGTTGGGCTCGAACAGAGTGTACCCTGATATCACGAGAGGTAGCCCAGCCAAAAACCAAAGGCAAATCGGGTGAAAATAAGCAGTTGGCTAACTTCCAGGGTGCGATGAAAGAGGTGGAAAAATGCTAGTTTTAGATTTTGCGACCTGCAAAACTTGCGATCTGAGAGAGGGGCAATGAACCAAAGACAGCTGTCCTTCCCAGTCTGTCGCTTATCCCCCGCCGTGGGGGATAAGCGAACATTGTGGCACCATTTCTGCCCAGGTCAACATTGGCCCTGCAGTCACTACAAGGGGGCTATCTTTCGGTACTTTACAGCGAAGCTGTTTAGAGCTAGGCCTCTGTGGATTTTTAGTGTGCATGACCAAAAACTCTACGCTCATACTGCCGCTTGCACACGCCTTCCCCATATGAAAGATTCCAAGTAAATAAGGAAGATAAAGCATTAAACGAACTCGCGTTCAAGATGCCGTTTGTTTTAGGCTTTTGCTTTAGAACACTTATACTGCTGCAGTCGCCGGCACGAACGGCGTATGGAACATTATTCCCTGCATTTTCCTTGATGCTCGGGTAATTTAGTAATAGATCTATTCGGTAGTTTAGTCATCAATACGCACCATCTTCAAACTCAGTAGACTCAGGTAGATAATAAAGGTTTCTCAAGATTTGCCGCTCTGGGAGCCGTGTCGCCCACGTCTACGCTCGCACCGCCCGTTTGTTCCAAGCGCTTGCGTGCCTAGTTCCCTTCCGCTCTCCTGGGGTGGCGGTCCCATAGCACGCGTCCAGTTTCCTCGGGGTCCTCGGGGCGGGTCTGCGTCGTGTGCTAAACGGCTTCGCTGGTCATCCCCCTTCTCAGAGTGGGATGGCTCACGATCTTTTAAAAAGAAAAGCAAATGGGGTCAAAAATAGCGGGTGGGTTATCTTTCAGAAGGGTCTCTTCGGATGCATACGTTTGGGTCGGCATATCCTGTTTGCTCAAATTTAGTAGACTGTATGTCCACTCCCCAATGCGGCTTGCCGAAGGTTGGCTGTTGGAATTTATACGAGTGCACCCCTCTCGTAAGACGTGACATGACATTAGTCATGTTTGAACCCAGAAAAGCGGCATACTCTGAGATTACCATCATGCCCAGAATGCCAGCACATCTGTTTGCTTTGATTCCAAATGTTATCTCTGCATTTTGTTAATTTCTCACTAACGCACCAGTCGAGCAAAGCCCAGCTGCTTCTTTCTCTCGCTTTGCTTCATTTTTTTTTATTTTACCAAAGAATGAAAAGATGTTTTATTTGCAATTCTTTCTTTGGATCTATTCCTCCTTTAAAATATGAACATGGGGGTGTGCCATAAAAGTACACCCGTCTGATAGATCTGTGAGTGATTGTCAAGAAACACTTTTTGGCAGTTTGTCTGTAAAAAGGTCGATTATAGTTGGCCTCACTTCACTATGAATACCTGAGTATACCAAATACACGCCCCTATGAGTCGGGGTGTGTTTAGTGGATTCACGAAACAACCGTTGTGCATCTCGACCCGACGTACGAGGCAGTTGATGCTGGGCCTCCCATTTCCACAGGTGGAGTCTGAGCTGATCGACAAACTGGACATCCTCGTGAGTGAGAGCAGTGGAGACGACGAGTACCGACAGCTCTTCCACACCATGTAAGTCGCAGACACGGTTCAGCGCTGGCCTGCCAAAGGAAATAGACCCACGCAACTTGCTGAGGACCACTCTCCCGCTTCTGGCTTGCCTAACGAATGACAATCCGCAAAGTAGACAAAGAGCCGAGTGGCCACATCCGACGACGAGGTATGCGTATGAACGTTGGAATTGTTTTACAAATAAAAAGCCCGGAGTGGTCCAGTTAACCATGAAGGATGTGCAGCTTTGTTTCTGAAAGATTAATGCTCCTATAAAAAAAGTGTAGATAGGGATTAGATGCAGCAAAAGATGTTGCAGTAACAACACTCGGATGTAGCTTATGGTCACTCGATTGAATGTTTTCCCAGCAATTAATGCACACTCAACCTTTTTTTTCTTTTGGGAGTCCAGTCGCCTTGCATAGTACAGATAAAACTTGTTATAACAAAATGGTATATAACAAACTAATGGATGTAACGAAGCAATCATAATTCCCCTTGCTTGCTAATAGTGGGAAATGGACATTGGCTATAACAAACTAATGGTTATAACGAAATAATTACGACCGCTCCTTGAACTTTGTTATAACGAGGCTTTACTGTATCCCCGTGTTGTTAAAAAATGTGAGAAAAAATGCAGTTGTCTGGCCTTCCACACCAGACATTGGTAATGGCAGGTTCTGCAGATACCTCAAGCGCGACTCTTACATTTTAACTGCCTCGAGATTGATGCGTTTCGCTTACGAAAATGGAATCTCGAAAGATTATTTCGTTTAATTGTGAACGAGTGGCCGCTTGAGCCAAGTTTATGTGACTTTATGTGCTTTGTTTGATTTTAGGGCGGGCCCTCGGAGTGTAGTGTTTTTGCAGTTATTTTTGTAAATATTTCTTCTAGAACAGTGACTGAGTTGTGTAGCCTTTACGCCCATGTGCTAACCCCACTAACTGCTTTGCCCCCTTGTTCCCTGCGCTTCCTCCAGGGAACACTTGCAACATGTGTAAGTCTCTGCACTGTCATTTGCATGCAGCTGTCTTTGCTGTGCCATTGATGGAAATTACGATCCATGTTTTCTTTTACCTTCGGTAAAGTCACAGAATTAGGCAATTCAATCTCGTGTCATGTTCAGTGTAATGGAGCATCCAATTTTATTTCTTTTTATTGGGAGACACTCTGCAATTAAAAGAAACCTGCGTCCACTTCATCACTGCGACGCTAATCCTTATGATCGAGAGAGAGACCCATGAGACGAAAGAAGTCCAAATATCTGGGGAAGGAACAGCGGCAAAAAACTTGGACAAGGATGAAGAAAACACGCACGACAGGACATTCACATCAAACCAACTAGCCCAATACGTCACATTATTGATGTCCATATAATGTTTGGACCCAGGAAAATTTTAGCATGTTCTAAAGGGGTGGTGCAACGATTTTCTGACTGGCCAATTATTTCAGGAATTGGTCTATATCGCCCTTAAAATAAAAAACAGAAAAATTAATTTTTTCACACACTAATGTCCAAAAAAAAAAAAAAATTGGGCAGAGATATTTAAGACTGCTTATGTGTAGGAATGCGAAAGCATCGCTAGGTGCAGCGCATTCCTACGAGCAGCGCGCTGCTCCTGCGTCTTTCCCTCCCGCTGCGCCGCCAGCAGTTCGGCTTAGCAACAATGAGGCCATTGCTATGGAGCCACATGCGCTGGGGTGGTGGCATCATGCTCCCCCACTGTGCAGCTGCGACGAACCGTCTCCACGGCTTCTGGGACAATGCGTTGCTTTTTTTTTTCTGTTTTAACTCGGAGGCGCTTCGACCTTCAGCGGCTCCTCCGGCTACCGTGATGAAGCATGTGATATGACGCGTCGCAGCCAATGGGAAACCGGGTGCCGTTTCACTGCTACAGTCGATTACAGACAGTGCCAGCTTCGCTTCATAAAACGATTAATGTTCACAAAAAAAAAAGGATGCCACAGTTGTTGCTGCTGCTACACTAATTCTTGCTGAAATGCGTTGCATTTAGCGCAAGTGAAGGAAGTGAATTGCAATCTCGCAACAGTCGGCATACTGTTGTCTTCAAAGAGCCAGTCTGTTTTCCTGGGCATTTACACTTTTGAATGCGACCCTCAACTTTCCTCGATCGTCGCCTACAGTTGGCATACTGCTTAATCTGCTTTCGCATAATGTAGATCTTAAACGGAAGCATGACGAGCAGGAAGGTTTTTGGACCCTTGGACATTGCGTGCGCCTTTTAGATATGTGGTAGTTGCATTCGTTTTATAATCCGAGCGCAGTTTTAAAGTGGTCATGAGCGAGCAGGCAACGCTATAACCGGGATTATCAAGCCCGTGCGCGTGTGCTTCCGAGTGATTAGGGACAGGCACGACAGCGTATATGCGGCGAGCCGCGCCTTGTGTTGTGTCCGTCGCTTCCCCTGCAAGAGCAAGTGGATGTAACGAGTAAACGGACCGAGCCGAAGAGCACGGCCAGAACCACGCCGCGGCCTCACAAAACTAGTCCCGTCCGGCCCAAACCACAACCAACCCAACCAAAGACGGCTGCGTGCACCGGGCCAATAAATGCTAACGCATCTAAGGAAGGAAACAGTCAGAATGTCAAGTACGCCTCAACTCGCACCGTTTTCCAAGTAAAATGCTCAGTGTTGTCACGCCGGGAGCACCACATTTGGGTCTACCTTACAGGGCTCCCAGCCCCCCGTCTGCGATTGGAAACTCTTCAAGGTCTGTTTCGGCTGCAATAGAGCACCGCTCACACTCAGCATCATTGAAGGTCGCAGAGAGCAGTCGAGACAGATGGCACTTGGCCACGGGAGAGATGGAGAGGGTAGCAACAGAGAGCAAATGCATTAAGACTGCGAGTTGGGCTGGTTGGTTCTCATTCATAATGAGGATATACTAGGGCAGGAAGGTGAGTGGCACACAGCACAGGGCTCTGTCCTGTGTGCCAGTCATCTTCTTGTCCTCGTTTTGGCATATGTCCCCATTATGGAGGCAAGGTAATGGTTTTTGTAGACATCTGGTAGATGGCGCATTGAAAATTTGCCGGCCCGTAGCAGGGAGGAACAACACACATATAACAAAACGCTACAGTTCATACCTCTAATAAAAACTTTGAGCAATTCCGTATTTACGAATTTGGATACAAGATGTGCCCAAAGTACCAATGAAAAAAAAAAAGGGGACAGTGTGGTCTCGATGGCTGTCACATGCAATTGCAGAGTGGGAAAAATTTAGTTTTTTTTTTTTTTTTGCAATTATGCGACAGATTTGCAGTATTTCCGGCCTAGGTGCCTTTTTTCTCTCACTTGTGCCGAGATAAACAATGTAAAAGATATGAGCCGCACATTCTTTTAACATTTAAATTGTTATAATGCCCCTGTAAGGTCAGTGTCTCATCACAGGGCACATTGTTTTGGTTTAGGTCTGCCTTATGTAGTTGAGCAAAGTGTTCACACGGACCATTGATGTAGCAGAGCGCAAGACCGGCATCTAGAAAAATTAAGCTTTCTCACCTGCACGCTTTGAGCATGTGACACTTGAGCACCAATCTTTTGCATCACTTCGTCCAAGAGTTGTGCATGTTAGAAAAAAATGTACCCTAGTCACGTCTCACCAATTTTTGGCAACATGCTAGTAGTGTTTTTGTCTATAGTGTGTGCATTCACTATTCGATGTTGTGTAAACTTTCTTCCAATTTTTTTTTTAATCTTCCATTGATTGAAGGGCCACTGCACTCCCCCAAACTTTAATACAGCTGCCGACCGATTTTTCAAACTTCGCGGGGACCAAAAAAACATTTGAGTAATGTAGGAATCCGAAAAATCAGCAGTTTGAAAACTTGTTTTTATTACGTCTCTGCAGGCTTAAAAAAATTGCCAAAAGTACCTTGCTTTGTGTTACGTCTCCGCTTACGTTCTATTAGCTTGAAAACTGCTGCCTTCTTTTCTAGCGTTATGGTCAAGTACTTTTTGTGGTTCTTAGTGATGTATTGGGGGCGGCGGAAGAACGGCTGAGGCCGTAATGTCCGAACCAGCCAAGTCCGAAAATATGATTTACCAAGATCAGATGAAAGCACGGATCAGAGGCGCAAGTCCACGACTGCAGAATGCCGATTGAATGATGCAAAATGGTAACAATGATGATGATAATGACGTGCAGCTAGAGAAAACAAAAGCCGTAGCATAGCATCACCTAGCAATAATAGTACTGCCAAACCAAGCCAATTCATGTACAGCCAACAGAATCTAAAATGCTGGCTTCTCAGTAGTGTTTCCTGCTGATCGCTTGCGACCATTTTGTCCGAAAAAATTGAACTTTAGGATTTCAGGCTGTCCGAAACGTCTGTTGTGAATCTGTGCTATTTCTATCGGGTAGGTCACGATTCCTTCTTTTGATCCGAAATATCGAACAAGTTTGAATTATCGGCGTCCAAAAAATCGGTCGACGACTGTATATGAAAGACCCTCTTAAAAATCTAGAAAACTCTTATCTGATATACATTTAGCCATTTCTGAATAGTGGATTTCAAATTTGAAGCAAGTTAGAAGTGAATAGTGGTTTTTGGAATAGCTTTGAATCAAATATTGAATAGTTTCTCCAAGCCTTCCACTACTGTTGCACCATGCTTTAAGGAAAACCCAGCTGAACTCATAAAGGTTGTTTCCGTACCTCCGCTTGTCCATTTATAAGCTAGGGTAACTTTAATTCATCTATAATGATGGACTGTGGCCTCAGAAAGGCAGATGTATATATTGGTATGGCAAGTAAAGAACAGATAAGACACAAGATTAAACTCGTAGAAATGCCCAGCTATACCCAATTGAGGGGATTTAAAAAATCTTGGTGTATGCAAATCTCCTTTTTTCAGTTGCAAACTAAAAAGAAGACAATAATTAATTATGAATGCAATTGTCGAGGCATTTGTGCCTGACATATTACTCTTACATAAAAGGCACAGTTTAATTTTGAAAATTTTACCGCAGTGTAGATATGAACAAAACTCTCCAGTTCTTTCTAATTACACCAGGTGTATGGGTGCATCATCCTGCTTTGACAGTGTGTTTTCTCCTAAGCACACGACTGCAATATGTGCTCTTTCGCAAGTGTCAACAGCGGCAGTCTAGCGCCCTTAAGTGCGCTTTTCACTGAGCACCGTTGCACTGTGGAAAAGCAACATTGGTGGAAGCAAGCTCTGCGGATGTGGCTTTTCCACAGCACATCGGTGCTGAGTAAGAAGTGCTTTCAACGGGCCTAACTTGGCGTGATCCACTTCTGGAAAAATTGGAATATTGCAGTTCATCTCAAAGCGAATATTGAATAACATATTATTCGAAAGTACTACTATTTGAAAAGTCGAACATTCGCACAATCCTAGATATATTACTTTGAGGGGCTTACTGAGGGTTTATTCCAAAGAGCAGGTCGAAGAGGCATGACCAGCTGCCAGGTCTCCAGCTCTCTGAAGAACTAAATTCACGAGCTCCCGCTTCCGAGCTCGTGCTCTGCTGACAAAGACGACGACCGTCTTTTGCAATCGCCACAATTACTCTACCTTATCTTTAAAAACTCAAGCATGTAAACACCGATATGAGCTTGGCTGAAATGAGACAGAGGGGAAAAAGGGCCACTAGATTTGGGACAATTGGGAATAAGTAGTGGCCCACCAGCACTTGTTTTCTTGTTTTTTTTTTGTTCGAGCCATGCAGATTTTAAATTGTAATTGAAATTGGGTTTGTTTAGTGATATGGTCATCAAAACCTGTTTGATGCCTGCACTCGATACTGAGTCAGTGAGCTGGTCTGAAATAGACTCGGTCAATCATTGAGTGAGTCGCAGAAGGAGAGTTTCTACGCTCGGGTAGCTCCTTTGTGCCTGCACTGGGCCAGTTTCTCTTGGCTGTATGGGGCTAGTTGGCGGGGCCCATTGTGCAGGCGCCCAAGTTATTCTTAAAGGGCTATCCTTGAATACTTATAGACGAGGGTGCAGCTGCCTGCAGTGTCGATGGCTGGTGTAGAAGAAGTGGGTGGGATAACCCAGGATTTGCTCTCTCCCCAGACTTCTAGAAAAGGTCCGCTGCAACGAGCCCGTCTGGAAGGAGAACGGGGTGAGCTTCATCAGCTCCATCACGCGGCTTCTGGAGAGACTGCTGGACTACAGGTAGCGTTACCCAATCGGATTTCCCCACAGCATTCCTTTTACCATTGCACCCGTCCGTTTTGTGTTGGAGAGCAGTTTGCAAATAGGTTTGTTCCTTGTCTATCTCAAGGGCATTCGGAGAATGCATTAAATGTATTGAAAACAGAGCTCGTTGGTTCATATTCTTGGGTGGCGGGGGCACACAGTGTGCGTGGGCTCCCTTCCCCTGTCACCTGCACGCCTGGTCTGAACTCTCTCGAGTGCAATTAAAAACTATTGAACATAAAAATAGACAACTCAGTGATGTGATTGCTGCGCCAATTGCGCCAAACCGCGCCAAGGGGCTAACCGTGCTACATCCTGCCACATTTTGCCAAAGTATGGGTAATCTGCGCCAAGACCGCACCAAAGGACCAATATCTTTCAAAACCGAAACTAAGAATGTAATTGAGCATGCGTCTGCTAGGTGGCACAGGCGGCTGCCCGGCACAAAGTGAACTGCATCCACCCGGTCTTGCATGGTTTTTGCCGCCATCTCGCGTTTCGTGCTCTCGTCGTCTCGGGAATCTCGTCTCGCGTCTTTTTTAAACTTTTTTCGACGATAGACGCAGGCGTGTGCGGACGCTCCGACGCTAGTGTGCCGGGTGCCAGCCATGCCATCATGTTGTGAAACAAAACCAGGTTTTTGCGGGACGAGAGTTGTTTTGTAAGCTGAAACGCTGGTCGTGGGACGTAGGGTGTTGCAGTCCCCACGTCGCTGCAGATGTGGTGCTTTCTAAACTTGTTCATCGACATTCCTGTTCCTGTTTAAATCATACTCTACTACAAAAAATCCCTCTTTAAAGGGATACTACAACGAAATTTCGGCGCTTATCTCTGGGTCTATTCGTGCTCAAGGGAGCACTATCACATCACACACATCAATTTCTTGCTGAAAATGGCACGAAAAGGAATTTTAAAACGAATTAAACGATTAGCAAAGAGCACCTGGTGGTTGTCGCTAACGCCTCGTTTGTAATACCCGTCTAGGAACCTTGACAGCTAGTGATGGTGGGTGTCTCACCTCCGGCCACGACGAGAGAAGAGGGGCAGAGGGAACTCCCCTCTTCCCGAGATTGCCTCTTGTGTGTCGCAGAAGCCGCTATTCGCGTCTCCAGCTCGACGCTCGCCCTCCCGCGGCGGAAATGGGAAGCACTCTAGTGAGGGTCCCCCGATTCTCCTGCTCAGCGGGCATGGCGGAACTGCTCGCGATCATGGCTCGCGAAATGTCGTTTCCGAATGCAAGCAACACTCTTCACAGTCCCAACGTATAGTGCTGCAGCCGGCATGGGATTGTACCTTACTGGAGAGTTTTAGTATTGCGCATAGAAGCAAACGCAAGCGGTGTGCGTTTGCGTTCGAGTTGCGTGCCCCACGTTTTGCGTGCGCCTCATCACCATGCGCCATCCAAGACCGCAATTTCGGGCTCCGCGCACGCGCAGTGTGGAACACGCAAAGCTAACGCAAACACACAGGGCTTGAGTTCGCTCGTATACGCAATATTAAAACTCACTACTGTTTCACCGGCTTCCAACGCCAACGAAACGTGCTGCAGTGAGCAGACGTGCAAGCAGGTAGGCGTTCCTTCGAACTGGAAAGGCTGAGATTGGCAAAAAGACGGCGAGCAAATACAAAAGTAAATAAATGTTATGAAAAAACTAGTAATTAAAAAAAAACTTTTTTTTTTTTTTTTTTACTTTTGGGCATTTGGTTTGGAAGTATATTGGCGGCGACTTTGGACGTTTCGCCGATTGTCAAAAGTCACGACTTTGATAGCACAATATACTTTACCCACAATTAATGCAATTTTACATAGATTTCTCATATTAGCAAGAATGTTTTAATTTATTTTAGACTATTTTTATTTTATTGGTAATTAAAATGCAGCAATTAGAACCAGTGATGATAAGTAGCACAGTTTTCATTGTCATGTTTCTTCGCGCATTTAAAATTAGATCATAAGCAACAAATTATATTAGAGCTTGAAGAATTACTTATTCAAATATGTGAATTCTAATATTATTAATATTAATAGAAACCGCGGCAATGTATGCCTCCAATTAACGCCAAGATCAAGAGAATACGCTATTTAACCATAATAGTCTTTCGAGAAAGGTATAATTCTGTTTTTCTTTTTAGCATATGAAAAACTCTGACATAGTTATCAAGATAGACAAACAGTCAAACACTGGATGTAATATAAAGTCCTACGCGTCACGCGGTGCTATAAAACACACACACACTTCAGCTGTCTGACTAGGATTCCGTCTGAATTTTTTTCTAGTGAGAACAGCGTTTATTAATTTATTCGTTTGGTGGACATATTGTAAAAATTATAATTATTCTAGTTCGTGTGCTTGGATAATTGTCATTATTTTCCATGACAATTATCTGAGCGAGAAAAAAGCAGCGAGCACGCACATATATCAGCACTGATTTTTTCAACGACTACAAATATCAGCCTGAATCGAACAGTATGTCACAAAATAAACTTTCCGCAAGCAACTTTTCCAACTAAATAATTACCATGTGAGACACATCTTGAGTCATGAAAGAATCCGAAATTACGACCTATATCGAGAAATTAAATCCAAAATAGAGGTAAGTTTCGGTTTCGCTCCAGAATTAAAACGCGCATCCTTCCGTAAATAATACGCTAAACGCCGCTCTTGTTTTCAGGTTAAAGAGGTGACCTGCGGTCATAAAACATTAGCTTCCTCGTATTACCAGAAATAATTTATGTCGCTCAGTGAAGCCAGCACACTAGACAGGCTCAACAGTGGCACGCATCTCTGACCCTCACTAAACCCGCCATCTTGGAAAATGAGTGGCGCCACCTATAGTTAGTTGGAGTCGCGAATTGTCCCCCTACAAGATTACAGAAGATTAACCAGTCACTCGAAATTTGTACGAAACCAGCCGCTTCGGTGGCTGGAACCGTTAGGACATCTTATCGACGTCAGCCTCACCGAAGCTTTGCTCGTTCCGAGACGAACTACGTCTTGATTACATTGGGTGTCACATGCTCTCCGCTGGCTGTTCTCCGAGCGCTTATCAGAGTGGGCCGTTTGTATAGAAAAATACAGCCACCAGACTCAAAATACAAACGTGCAATTATCATTTACGGATATTGTGGATCATATTCAACCTATTTCTGAACACGATTGGTGTTTTTCAAATTTCGTTGAAGTGTCCCTTTAATTCAAACACTGCTTATCAAAATAATAATTACCTAGGTTTCTCTCGGTGGGGCTTTCCTTCGAGAGGAACCCCGGTACGGGAAAAATCTGCCGCGAAAGGAAGTTGGTGAAGGGAAGTGAGCTAAAGGAATAAAGGCAATGTCTGCTTGCTGAACCCGCCCAGCGCGCTTGTTTGTCTCGAGTTCAGTCGTTCTACAAAGCGGTCTAAGAAATGTTGGACCCTGGCTCGCAGTGTCTTGCATCGATGCGCTCAGGTTCTTTTCTCCTGTGTGTTTAGCTTGTACCTCACCTGCCGGTCTGGCAACCACGCGCCGCTGGAGTGTTATCTTGTCGTATGCTGGACAGATACATTTTGCATACTGTTTTGGGAACCAGTTGGCGACGGAGCGGAGTGGCATTGTTCCGATTTCGATGGAACAGCCGTTGTCTCCACTTGCGCAACGAAGCACGTACCACTGCAAGCCTGCTGATGTTGCCCTCACGTGCATGGGAACATGAGTGCACGACAGAGGCACCAGCCGGGACTCTTGCAATTCATTGTTTTACGTTTGCTTACTTTGGACGAAAATCTGGCACGTTGGGAAGCAGTAAAACCGTGGCAAGCGTTCTTTTCGGAATCGCTTGGCAACGCCTACAACACTGTACACTTGTGGGATGTCTCAGCGGTAAAAACACAAAAAGCAATTTCCGTCACAACACAGCACAAAAGTGCCCTTCGTTTGTCCAGCACTGAAAACAAAATTTTTTTTTTTCTAAGAATTTTTGCTTGAAAAGCCACTTTTGCTGCTCCAGAGCACTGTTTTGGCTGCTCCAAGAGGTGCTCCAAAATGGGCCAATCAGATCACTGACAACTGCTAGGCTATATTGAGGCCTTCTTCCTTCACTACTATCAGTATTGGCAACCTGGATTGAAGCCCTCTCCTTTGTTATTTACAAACATCACCCTAAATTTGCAATTTTTGAGAAAAAGAAAAGGCTTTAATTTTTATCTATTGTGGTTCAACAATGAAAGGTGCACATTCCCACAAATTTTCATTGCAATATTTGAAATATTTGCGGAGAAACGAAACATTTTAGGTAAGCCCACGATGCAAAATCATATGTTTTCGAAATGTGAAACTTGTATGTTTTCTAGTTTCTAACAGCTGTAGCTCCGTACCAATACACCCTAGAATGATGATCATACTTTCGTTGGAAAGAGCATTTCTTTGCAGTCGCAGTACATTAAACATGTTTGTTTGAGAATTCAACGCTATTTGGACAAGAACAGCGTACAAGTCCAGCTTTCTTGGGGAAGAGGCTACAAACATGGCGAAGAATTGAAGAGCCCACCCTGATTGAACAGAAAATTAACTAAAACCAACATTCGTTTATAGAAAGTCACGTGGATTTGTTAGCTCTGTATTTCGACGGTGTTTGCCCTGCCCATGATTGCTGACACTGGTATTGCAAGCATAACCAATTCCTCTCTCATTTCATAATCAATCTGCACATGTTGACCACAAAATGCCACTGGAAGGAAGCTCGTTCAGCAAGGCCATGCAGGAGGTTGGGTGTAACCAGAAGACACCAGCTATGGTGCCTTTTAGTGGCCACCAGTAAAATGAAATGTGGTGTGGAAACTTCAAATAGGTTCTTCTCAGTTTCACTTTTTTGCAGCAACTTTCGTTTTAGGAAATCTATCATTTCAGTGAATTACGGAATGTACTCTTAGCTGTGGATGCTTCTGGACTGAAATTTACTGAGGAATGTGGCTAGATATTTGTTTATTTAAATGAACTTCTCATTGCCAAAAAGTAGTGTTTTGATGAGAAGAAAATGCCCCATTATGTGGAATGCTTTTCAAATAGTAATTTTGCCTATAAAAAGGACAGATTTCAGGGTTAAAAATAGATTGTCGCTACCCCCTATGTTTTAGTTACGGCTGAGTCTTAGAGATGCTCATTATTTTACGGCAGTCTTATACAATCGATTTTCTTGCCAAGTGAGGTGACTTACATCAATAGCTGTATACCTCCCTCTGTAGCTTGTCGAAAAATTGTCTTACAGAAATGTCATACGTGACTGGTTTAAGTTCAAGTCAAAGCCTTCTTCCTCTACTTCTGTCCTTATTTACTTACAAATGCGGAGCTGCTTCATGTCCTTCAGGACCCCCGCAGAAACAGTTTTTCTCACTGGTGCAGCACCAGAAAAGGGGGTACTGACGCATTCATCTTCTTTCTCATCACTCGCCAGTGCCTCGAGGATTTCACGCGCTAGTTTATCTTCATTTTTTCCCAGAACCTCGATGTTTTGCAAACTTGCACTGCATCGGTGTTCTCAACACCGGACTGGTGGATGCTTCCCTGCTGATGTGTTCCTTATGAAGCAGCATGTTCCTTTGTCCGGTCGTTAATGCAACGACCGGTTTGGCCTTTGTAGCATTTACCGCGCAATAATGGGATGTTGTATATGACTCCTTTTTCACACGACGCATACTTTGTCCTGTGAGCAATGCCACAAACTTGTTTGGAATCTCACTCCTGGTTTACCCAGCGACACATAGAATACCATATTTTCCGGTGTATAAGACACACTTTTTTTTACACAATTTTCGGTGGTGCATCTTATAGACAGGTGCGTCCCATATACTAATTTTTACTTAGAAACTTGGGAAAGGGTGCGTCTTGCACACTGGTGCTTCTTCTACACCGGGAAATAGGGTAAGTGCGGAGCAGACCAGATGGATGCCAGGCCGTCCGGCCATTCTCTTCAACCTGTGAGTGAGGCTGTGGATATAAGGCACTTTTGGTGTCCTTTTCTTTGTTTGGCTGATTTTGCTAGGGTTCCACTAGACTCTGATGTGACACTACCGTCGTTGTTAAGTAGTGGTCCCGGAAAACTGTCTAGGGTGATTCCTGCCCCATTCTAGAATGAGATGGCACCCTGCTCCTCTATGCTTGTTCAAAGAATGGGTACGAGGCTTGCGAGTGGAATTGAATAGAACGTGTCCTGAATGTCAATGGAGAAGCCAGAAATAGTTTCAAAGCCCTTTTCTCGAAGGAAGGCAATCACACTTCCTGAGTTAAGTATCTTAAAAGGATCTCGTATCTGAACCCTGAACAAATGCTTTGGCAAAAAGGTCGACGGATGTGCTTGCCACGTCCCTCTTTCCGAAACAACAGCATGAGTGCGTGACTAGCGTAGCTCTGTAGCTACGCTAGTTATGCGATACCGGACCAACACTTCCTTTGCTGAACGTCACGTCAGTATCGACACTGCAAAGTTTCAGCAGAAGCTAATGCCATGGTGATGCTGCACGTGCGTGATATTTCAACACTCGATTAGCTTTCATTGGCCACAGCAGCCTCAAAACCACGCGAGAAAACTGAAAAAAAAAAAAAGCGCCCATTGGAACGTAATGGTCGATGCCTGCTTGACAGTCCTCGCATTTGTTTTCTGCTTGCTCCGTCTGTTTCCGAAAAGCTGGAAAAAAAGAAAGAAGAAAACTCGCCTCGAGAACACTGTTGTCCCAGAATCTACCTGTTTTGTCACTTGACGAGCCTCCGAAGCCCCGACCACCATCGACTTGGTTGTGGTCAGTACGACAAAACAAAGCTGGATCAATGGGTCCTGCTCCGTAGGCCGTGACACCACTGGAAATCATGGTGTAAGGCACCAAAAACAACAGACACAAGAGAGAAATCAGACATACAGGCGCCTGTATGTCTGATTTCTTTGCTGTTTTTTGCACCTTACATCATGATTTCAAACATTCACCAACTACAAGTTATTCTATGTGACGGCACTTTTGTTGCGCTGCTTGAGTTTAATTTTGATGAGAATTACAACAAAAAGATGAAGTCCTGAGTAACCCTGGTTCGAAATAGCGAATTAAACGTGAATTGTGAACGGTATACCTCACCTCCATGCTAGGAGCAAAGCGCACAAGTGGTCACGTGATACTTGTTAGGTCACGGCAGGAAGCCGTCAGGTTTCGCCACTCCATGTTTTGGGGGTTAATGCGTACGCATGCCGAAACGGTTTTAACGCAATAGTGTCTCAGAAGATCTGGTGTCGGTGGCATGATGAGAAAAGCAGGTGTCGGTGGCGTGCCGCAAAAATCCTGATTCGTCGATAGGGTCATGGCGTTGCAGCCACATGATTTTGCGCAATAACTTTAAAAAAAAAAAAACCACAACACTCACGTGAATGAGATGTCATGCGTGGAATGAAAGTGATTCAAACACATGACATGTAATGCATATTGAAGGTCGTTGGTGTCTAAAATGAGTTCACTCTATGAAGTAATTCATTTGCCTTAAAGAAAAGTTTGAAGAAGTTTAGGTGGGATTCGAACCCACGATTCTTCGGTTGCGAGCCAGACACGCTGCTGCCTAGGCACGCAAGGCACGCTTGCACCGCTTGAGAACGAGCGGGAATTTATATTTTTCACTATTGCGTTCCACTCTTAAAGGCAAAGCTTAAGCGTCCTCCAAGTTCTTGTTTAGAAAAAGAAAAGTGGTAATCGAGCCCTAGATGTCTGGACTTTGCAGCGCAAGCTTTCGCCCCACATAATCCGAGCTACGATGCTCTAGCAGACTTGGCCACCGATGCCCGTTGTGATAAGTTAATTGTCAGTGTACAAAACCTTGTTTCTGATGTCGCTCGCACTATACCTTTTCCTAAAGCACCTCAAATGTCGTGCAGGTACGTGAATATGCGATTGCACAAATTCGGTTTCGCGTGATGGATTTTTCGCGCTCAACTACTCTAACGAAGTTACCTGTAGTACGAAACATTTTGCTAATGCTGCGAACTTCGGTATAAAGGCGTTTGACTGTGCCAACTTGTTTCTGAAAGCAGCCGTTTAGGGGACCTAAGCGAAGGGGGGACACATGGACCGGAAAATAGAGTAATTGCTACGTGCCATCCTCGCTTGCACTCTCTGCTCGTCAACGTTACTTTATTGACTCGGACGGTGTGCCTTCGAGCTAGTGGACTTGAGTGTTGCATGATACTGCCTCACTATTGTGAAGCTATCCTCATTGGAAAATTCCTTCGATTACGTGTACGTCGCCTTCACAATGTCAGTAGCTCATACTATATCTGCACCACTACCGCTTTGTCAGTTGATTTATCTACGCCGCATGCATATCTCTAATGCGCGAGACTCGCATCACGGGGGCGGGGCAATGTGGTAGCTGCAGGCACGAGACTCATGGCAGCCCTTTTTCCCAGGAACGTCGTGGAGGGGGCGGAGAACCGAGACAAGCGGATGAGCTGCACCGTCAACCTGCTCGTGAGTCTGGCCATGCCTTTTGCGTCGATCTGGAAATTCAGCCCAGCAATCGGCTGTTTACAATCCCGTTTTTTTGCTCAATTTCGCGCTGCAGTTGTGAAGCAAAATGCTTTGATGGGCTGGTTTACGAGTCTAGGGCATCAAGAAAAACTGTCACGCAAGCACGATAAGACGGCCAAGTCACCCGGCCTACATTTAGTGAGAAAACTTGCCCGAGGTGGTAGTTTAGCCCAATTCAGCCGGAAATGTTTCCTCTAAATTTAGGTCCAAGACACTGGGTTAGGTCGTGTGGCGCGGCATCCGTCCGTAAAGAGATTCTTGGATTGAGTATTGCAACCGTCGGTAGTGACAACACCGTCCTGGGCGTGGGTGACCCGCACTGATTATGGTTTAAACGGTGAAAATCAACTTGGACAAAGGGTTTTTTCCTGCGTTTCCTCGTGGGAACCACATAATGAGTAACCCAGGTCCTCCCTCCTGCAGAAGTTCTACCGCAGCGAGATCCAGCGCCAGGAGATGTATGTGCGCTACGTGTACAAGCTGTGCGACCTGCACCTGCCAGCCGAGAACTTCACGGAGGCGGCCTTCACGCTCAAGCTGCACGCCGACCTGCTGTCCTGGTCGGGGGACCCGCTGCCGGCGGACGAGAGGCACCGGGAACAGCCCCAGTGGCAGCGCAAGGAGGCCCTCTACCTGCGCATCCTCAAGTACTTCGACCAGGGAAAGGCACGCACCCTCCTCGGGCTGCACAGAGCCCCGGCCACAAAAGCATCCTCTTTCTAACATTCCTTAGCTAGGCGTGAAGTAAATGGGAATGCTGGATTAAAACGCCACCCTCGTTATCATCGTTATTGGGTGGGAGAGAAGGGGTGAGTTCTCGACGGTTAACGGGGAGGGATCAAAGGAAGGGTTCGCGCTTCGAGATAAGCAAAACAGATAAACGACGGTGTACAAGTGCTTCTCGGTCATTGCGCTCGTTGAATGTCAATTGTAGAAGCGTCCTTAACAAGGCCACAGAGTTGGAAGGAATTTTGCTCTGTCATGATCCTGATATCGCCGTTCTGACTGAGACTCGGTTCAATGCTACGATATATGACAGTGAATCGGTCCCTGCTGGCTACAGTGCACTCAGGAAAGACCGTGGTAGTAAGGGTGGTGGTGTGTGTATTCTTTTAACAACTTCCTGAATATAGTGAGCATGCCTGAAATACCTGACGCCGAGTGTATTTTTTGCAAAGCATACAATGGTAAATGTAAATACATTATTTGGGCATTTTATAGACCCCCTGCATCTTCTACGACTGTTCTCGATAACTTAGAAATGTATCTCGATACACATGTGAAGCCTGGCGATCGAGTTGTTTTGGTAGGAGATTTTAATTTGCCAAACGTTGACTGGTCAAAATTTTCACTGAAACATCAAAATAATAACTTAGGGGAAGCAATGTTAGACATGGCCTTTAAATTTGACTTACTGCAAGTCGTCGGGGATTTTGCGAGAATCCAAGGAAAGTCTGCATCTATACACCTTTCCAAAAAACGCTCCTAGGCCGCCGCCATGTTGCTGATGCTGATGCGGCCGGTGCGACTCTCGCGCCCTCTATCAGCTAGAAGTTTTCTGCCACTCTCTGGGACTGTGAAGACCCGCTCAGCGCGGTTCTTACATGCATTTTAGCTGTTTTGCATTTGACGTTTTCTCGCTGTCTTGAAAGTTTCCACTTCATTTTTTTATGCGTGCTGCCTACCCTTCTTGTGTTATCTTCCGTTGTGAGAAATAAGGCTGGTAAGTGCCTGTCATTCAAGCTTTTCTGCTCGACATTCACGGGAAACGAAGCAGGTGAAGGACGTCGAACGACCCTCGACGCGATTTTGCGAACATTGTTCTCCCCCCTCCCAGAGATAATCCGCGTAGAATCCTCAGTCATCTCCAAAAATAGTTGCCCGGGTTGGGGCGAGAAACGGGTCAGTCGCGTTTCTTTCTTTGCCTTGGTGCGGTTGTGAAAAAAAGGAAGCTCTCCCCGAAACGTGCCCCAAACGAAGTCATCTCGGATTCCGTCCGATCGTCAAGATGTGACTGTCGTCGACTGTGTCTGTGTTATTTGAGATCTTTCTCAAATAAATTCTTTTTGGATAACGCTGCATCGTGTGGTATGTACGATTTATTGTTCTAATGTTACCACTTCCTCAATTGTATGTCCGTGTCCTGTCCATCGGTAAACACGTTATTTGTGAGCGTGAAAAATGCATGCCTTTCGGCCGTCTTCTGTTGCAATTTATTTTTGACAGCAAAGCGCTTTGCCGCTTCACATCCGGCGAATTTCGCGGCGTCGTCAAAACTGATCGTAAGAAAAAAACAAATAACTAGAACTATACATTCTAGTTGCACTCGTTCTGTCGCGCGCGTACCCAACAAAAACAGTTTACAGTTTTTTTTGTTTTTTTTTTTAGTGTGACACAATGCTTTCTCAATGCCCTCGGAAAAATAAATGTACAATGAAACACAAAATATTGCGGGAAAAAACGAGAATTTAGCCGCCAGCAGCGTTTGAAACTGCGCCTACGCAGGCTGCGCCTATTGAAATCACAGTCCACTCGGTTAGGGTTAGGAGGGACGCCGGTGAGAGTCTAGCCTCAAACTCAGTGACTGGGCTCGAAAACGGATTGTGGTCCCTGGGGTCGAGTGTTTTTTGGAAAGGTGTATACTTGACCTTGTTTTTGTAAGTGGTACAATTTCGTCTAAATCTAGATGTGAAGTAATCCCTGGTATTTCTGATCACAAAACAGTATTATTAACCTTAGAAGATGTTTCTGGAAATAGAAAAACCAAGTCGAAATGTTATCCAAATTTTTCTCGTGCAGATGATGTCTCTATTATAGACACGCTTTCATTTAATTTAGACGATTTCGTAAACAGTACCGGTGATGTAAATGATCTTTGGAATTTGTTTAAAGTTATTGTAAGTGAATGTATTGACCATTTTGCGCCAGTAATTGTAAAAAAGCAGAATAAAAAGAACCCCTGGATTTCTAGAAAGGCCTTACAGAGACAATTGAAACAATTGAAAAAGAAAATGAAAACAAGCGCCAACTCGTGTGAACTGACTGAAAAATTTCTTGATCTTTCTTTGCAACTTAAAACCCAAGTTACAGTTGATAAAAGTCGGTATTTTGGCGAATCTTTGCCACACTTCATATCATATAGAAGTTTTGGCGAATAATATCTCCACTTTCCGGGGATTGTGATGTTTTCGAAATTGGTGGTAGCTTAATCCATGACGAAAAAATAATTTCAAACGCATTTAATAAACATTTTAAATCAGTGTTTACTCAAGACGACAATGTGTTACCAAATTTTGACGCTGAATATCCGCCTATGCCTGATATTGCAATTAGTGAATGTGGTACATTGAATATGCTTTTGAAATTGGATGTAAAAAAATCTCCTGGGCCTGGTGGTATCCCCAATGCATTTTTATCCAGGTATGCTGAATGGGTCTCAAAATATTGGTTTGTTCTGTTTTCACGATCGCTTTCCAAAGGTGAGGTTCCAGACGACTGGAGAACGGCCAGAGTCAAACCACTTCATAAGAACGGAAACAAGCACTGCATTCAAAATTACCGTCCAATTTCATTGACTTCAACTACCTGTAAACTTCTTGAACATATAATATGTAATCATTTATCAAAATTCCTAGACGAACGCAACATCTTGACTAAAAATCAGCATAGATTTCGAAAAGGTTTTTCAACGTGTCCTCAATTAATTGAGACTGTTTACGATTTCTCCTGGGCAATAAACAATAGAAAACAAATTGATGCTATTTTTATGGATTTTTGGAAGGCATTCGATAAGGTCTCGCACAAAACGTTACTATACAAACTGGAAAAAATATGGAAGAACACACAGTTAGTTAAATGGATTTCAGCGTACCTTTAAATCGTCGACAATTTGTAGTTTATGGGGAATATTGCTCTGAACGACTTTCTGTTGACTCTGGCATTCCCCAGGGCTCTGTGCTCGGACCTCTCCTTTTCTTGTTGTTTATTAATGATATACTATAGTCGGTTGCAAGCTAAGAAAAAACCGGAGATGCCTCTCAGAGGAAAATGTAATCCTACGCCGAGAAACGCCAGCCAATCGTTTTCATGACGTCACGATTCCGTGGACCAATCGCGATCCTTTTGAAAAAAAAAAATGCTCAACATGGCTGCTGGCCTTAGCAACGCGACGCTAGTTTCTCGTGACAATTGTTCTACTTTTTTGCACCGTGTTTTACGTGCCCGAGGTTACGCCACGAAATCTTAATGGTATCGCCTTACGTTTGCAGCAGTTTTTGCGCGACAACGTGAGAATCCAGCGACGCTATCGCCAACGAAAACTTCGAAGCGGGCGCGAGGCTTAGCACTGCTGAGAGGTATGTTAGACGGTATGTCAGACAGTATCTTGGACAGAAAATGAATTGGGAAGGCGGTACATTGGACATGACTTTCTTTCTTTACTAAACAGCTATTTCGTTGACACAAACGTATTCTAACTTATTTAAATGTCCTGAATGAATTAAATAAATATTGTAGTAGTTTAAGACACATTTCTTGGAGGAAGAAAAAGCAACGTTGCTAGCGAACTACTTTCTCGACGGCGGAGGCACTTCACATGGGCGCAATGCGCTTGTGGGTGCAGCTAAAAGATTGTTCTTAGGTTGCATCTGACTATAGTAGATGTTCCGGCAAAAATCAGGTTATACGCCGACGATTGTATAATTTACTCGGAAATAGCTAGTACTTCCGATCAGCTTTCGTTAAATAGAGCTTTTAAAAAAATCACGGAATGGTGTACGCAGTGGCAAATGACTGTTAACTTTGAAAAAACTGTCTTTATGAGAATTACTCACAAAAGAAATCCTTTGAAATTTGTTTACAATACTAATAATATTCTTCTATCAGAAGTAGCACAATATACTAAATACCTTGGACTATGGATCACTCATAATCTTACTTGGACAAAACAGATTGATTACGTAGCATGAAATGCTCTTTGAAAGTTATTCTTTCTTAGAAGGATGCTAAGACTTTCTACCCCTTCCTTGTGTCTTCTAACATATAAAGCCATAGTCTTGCCAACATTAGATTATGCGGCTATCATTTGGGATCCCTTCACCAAACTATACATTAACAAGCTCGATCGTGTGCAGAAAAAGGCAGCTCGCTACATTTACAATAGCTTTGGACGTACCTCTATAACCGAACTTTTAACCAGAGCTAACCTAAAGTCGTTATCTCTCAGAAATCAGCATTCTCGACTAAAATTTTTGTATCAATTAATAAATGGACATTATAGGATAGATCTGTCTCACTTAATAAACTTCTCATGAGGCTAGGCTACGCGACAGAGGCATGCGCTAACAATAACTCCTTTTCGATTGCATAATAATTGCTTCAAGTGCTCTTTTTTTCCGCGAACGGTAACTGACTGGAATAGCCTTTCTGAGAGTGTCGTTATGCAGCCATCATTGTCTTTATTTGAATCCCTTCTAAATTAGTTTTGTCCCTCTTAAAAATATTTGTTCTTTTGTTTCTGCGACTTGTTTGCTATTTTGTATGCCTGCATGTCTTGCGAATCAAGTGTATACCCACCTGCTAAAATCCCTTTCAGGGATTGCAGTATCAATAAATAAAATAAATAAAAAGGATAGGCGAGGAGGAGTGAGGTAGGCGTGGAGGAGCTCAGCCACCTGTGTGCACTGAGGGAGGGAACCTTGAGGGTGGCTCAGGAAGATTGCCAGGTTTATCAGCCCGATCTGGGAATTCTATGGTACCCGTTAAACAATCTCATGAAAAGCACCATGAATGTAGGCGGCTGGCGTCTGGAAACTCGCAGTATCTCTGAACGTTTACAATGCTGAAACATTTCATGTATCCAACACAATTACCTAGCAATTTTTCTTTTTTTTTTCACCAGGCAGGAAGCAACGACGCGGCAAACAAGCTATCGCATCAGCCACGAAGGCGCCGCTGTCGGCCCCTTTGATCCATGTGTGCTTCTTCTCGGAAAAACTTAGCAAAAATACTTAGTATTGTGTGTTTTAAATGGCCCAACCGCACGCCCAGGTTTTCTCCGTCGACTTACTTCGCACAGAAATCCGTATATGCGCCTCGGAGATAGCGGGCTGCAAGATTGCCTCTAACGGACTTTGAGCCAGTGGCTTTCACTTCTTGAGCATCCGAGCAGAGTCGTACACCCATGCAACGACCAATTTCTTTCTTATTGTCCTAGTTGCAATAGCTAGTTTTTGATGCAGTGAACCGGTGGCGTGGCCATCGTCTTACATCAGATGTTCCTTGGCTTGCGTCCCTTCTCTGCAGTGCTGGGAAGAAGGAATTCCTCTGTGCAAGGAGCTGGCAGAACTGTACGAGAAGAGACTGTTCAACTACGAGAAGCTGAGCTCTATCCTCGTGAGTTGATCCATTTTGTTGGCTGACTTGGTCCTAAAGAAGAGCTTGGCATATCCCTTAGAACAGAGTTCTGATGCACAGAGGTTGCTCAAAGTCACCTAGGTCCTTTAGCTGGCATTCAAGGCCTAATTGAACTGTATTTCATGGGGAAGCTTTCACACAAGCTGTTTGCCGTGAAAGAAGATTATGCTGTGCTTGGAGTGATGGGGCAATGCATACTCAGTTTCACATAAAGTACCTACATATTGGTAGCAAGCCTCGAAGAAGGCTCTTTGGCAGGTTCTCTCTTTTGCACCATGAAGACGCATGGGCACTCCATCCTTTGACTGCACTTGGGGAGAGGGCTGGATTTTTTCCGCCGAATTCAGAAACCTCACTCAAACTACACTCAAACTTAAGGGCCCCTCCACTTCCTCGAGGAAGGTGCGAGGGCCGGCGCTGGCCAATCGCGACGGCGGATCCGTCCTCGCGATTGGCCAGCGCCGGCCCTCGCGCCTTCCTCGAGGAAGTGGAGGGGCCCTTCAGTTTGAGTGTGGTTTGAGTGAGGTTTCTGAATTTGGCGGTTAGTCTCACGTCAAAAAGGTTCCTAGGCCGCGGCAGTCAACCCTCAGTCTTTTGCTAGGGGGGGACAAATGCTCTTCATTGGCTTGACAGGCGAAACAATTTGTTTAAGCTTTGACTCTAGTACTCGCATAAGCTGAAATTAAGCATTATGACCCTTTTCCTCTCAGACTTGTTGAACTTTCGGACAAAGTAAGCATTGCCAGACAAGCCTTTAAAGTCTTTGGCGGTTGAAGTGCCAGTGTGGGCAGTTCTCATTTGAACCAGTTCGCATTTCTACCTTCTCGTTTTTACCTTCTCATTTCAACCCAGCACAAAACAACTTTCGCGTTTCTCCCTTTCTCATTTAAACCGTTCTCAAAACAAACTTTCGGGTTTGGACCCTTCTCAAAACGACTTTTCTCATTTTAACCTTTCTCATTTCAAATTTTCTCAAAACATACTTTCTGGTTTTGACCATTGTTAGAAAGACTTTTCTCACTTTAACCTCTCTCATTTCGAACCCAAATTAATCCAACATCATGATCTCGCAATCTTTCTGCGGTATGTATGGCAAATTCGGGTAACTAATTGCCTTTGAGCCCTTGCCGGTAACACCGGCGACCAAAAACGCGCCAGCGGCGCATCACGTGACCCTCTCCACCCGAATTCAAAGCACAATGAACTGGCGTTTTTATTTGACTGGGTCGCGAGTGAGCTCTGTTAACTTCTTTTTCGATGATTCTATGGTACCATGAGCACGCTGCATACGCCAACAACATAAATTACGACTCTTTGAGATGTGTGTAAACAGAAGCGGCTACACAAAACTTTTCAAGATATTGGCATTACCACAGTCCGTACAGCTGACAGAATGTTAAAATATAAAGTCAATGAAAGGGCAGATGTATAAATCAGTGTGGTGCTGCCCGCACGCGTCAAATTTCAATAAACTTCGTTTGGATTTTTGATTAACTGTTGCCACGGAGGCTTGCCAGCGTCGCTTTCCATATCCTGTTTACTGTTAGTAGAGAGTTTTAGTAGATCGTTCCCATGACTCCGATAACGGTACCCGATACTCCACCACCGCCTCCCTTGCGCATGCATAGAATCGTTATCGGGGCTGTCGGGGGCATTGGAACGATCTACTAAAACTCTCTAGTACCTTTTTTGGAATCCTCAGTCTTCTCATTGCACCCACCCTCCTTGAAATTGTAATGCGTGTTCAAGTTTCAAACTGCATCACTATGCATACTTTTTTTTTCAGCGGTGTATTAACTTGTTATTACAGAGTTGTAAAATAAAGTGATGTATGATGCAGCCCGTGTCTCGGAGCAAACATACCTTGCTCAGGCTGGATAAATTCTTCAAAAAATGTTGACTTTCTTTGAAACATAAATTATATTTCTCTTCGTTGTTTTCGCTATCTTGCCTCAGAGCACAAAAGGGTGCCTGTCTCGATGGCTTCGTTTGCCACTCGAACCCGCTATTTGCCGCCTCAGCGAGCATTGTTTCGTTTGGTTCCCTATCTCGGTTCGGATGTGACGATACTGGATACAGACTGGCAGACAAGCTGCCCGACCTCTTGGAGCTCGGGAAAACTTCTGCTGGTAAATTGCCGGTACACGCCTGAGAAGCGCAACCCGAAAAGCTTGCACCCGCCAGCCTTTGACCACTCGAACGCCCTTGCCGAAGATATGGGAAAATTTTTTTTCAGGGAAAATGAACACCACAATTGGCCATTACAAGCAATAACACACGACTAGCACAATGACCCATCCGCTCCACACTACTACATCTTACGACATACAGCGACAGAAGAGAAATGAAGTACCGAATCTGCGCTAGCACTTTTGAAACCACGTCACCATGTGATCACGTAGCAACGTCAACAGACTCGGGGTGGCATGCAGGAATAAGGAAAATTGTTTCATGTGCTATGCAAGAGATGGTGCCGCTTCGTTTCATCTTCAACCTTCATTCTAAACTGTTTTTCCCTTTCTCTATACAGTATAGCCCACTTACAACGTAACCGCTTATAGTGCAGGACCGGGTACAACGCGGTTTTTTTAAACCACCGGTTTGCCTCCCATAGAACTCAATGTAATTACATACCGCTTAAAATGCAGGCGCGCGAAGGGAAATACCGGTTATAGTGCGGTTTCTGGCACAGCCCGCCGACTGCGCCAATGACTGGAGCAGCAAGCACGCTTCCCTGTGCGACACTAGATAACGGCGCTGGCAGCGCGAGGTGTTGCTCGAAGAAGCGGGCAGAAGCGAAGAGAGGCTTCAGTTGCCATAGCGACGGAGGGACGCACGCACGTGTCGTTCACGTGCGTGCGTCCCTCCGCTGTGTTGGAAACAAACAACCGCAACGACAGACCAATCGCAGGTCGAGGAGAAGTGTTCGTGCGCGTTGCGTGCCGGTCGCGGGCCGGCTGCTTCTATCCGCAAACATGGCGTCGGTTGTGATCGTCGTCGCAGACGGCGTTCATCTCATCGTTTCGCGTAAAAGCGCTATCCTTGACTGTGAATTTTCGTTGTGTGTCGCTGTGATAACCCAGCACGTACTAGAAAAGAAGATCCACCTACTCGTGCAGCGATGTCGTGGCGGCGCTCTCAAGACGGCAGAAACGCCCGTGTCGTCGTGTTTGTTTACTTCGACTACAGTGGTGATTTCTAAGCATTTGTGTCCTCGAACATCGCCATGATTTCTTATTTGGCGCATTTCATGCATGTGCTCAAGTTCAAGGTATTACTGCCGCGTATCGTAGGAAGGATGCGAATTTTCACGCGTTTTTATCTCCAGAGAAAAGTGATTAAAGTTAGCAATCCTGAACGCTCGCAACATCCGTCTGGAACCCGCGACGCCCTTAAAAGGCTGCGCCAGGCAAAAGCTGCTCATTTCTTTCAAAATGTGTGACACACTTGAGACAGAACTGTACTAGTCTGGTGAAATAAAGACTTTCCTCAAACTAAGCTTTATTTTTCATCTAGCATAAAATAAATTCTTTCACAAAGGTAAGTTGTCTCATGGCATGTATTTTGACCTGAAAAATTGATGTTTTGGTTATAGCGCTGTACCGCTTATAGTGCGGATTTTCGCGACTCCCGCGACATACGTTATATGCGGTCTACACTGTACCTCACTATGGTGTTCAAATGACAACGAATTCAAATGAGAAAGGGTCGAAACGCAAAAGGTTAAAACTCGAAGGGCGTTTTGCGAATGGGTTCAGACGAGAAGGGTTCAAATAAGAATGGGTTGTTTCGAGATACACCCGCCAGTGTATTACGGGTCGGGACTCGACGGCTCATAGAAAGGAAGCTTGCACTAAACTCTCACACTACGAGCCTTCAGCCCGTCACTGCATGGGATCTATGGACGTGGCCAAGCATGTGGCCCAGGAAGTGGTTAAGCTGCAATCTACGCTGGAGTTGTGAGCATGCTAAATGTCAGGTTCGCTGCTTTAGGGCGAATCATTTCTTTTCACTCAACTTTTGGGCGGGCCTTGTCATCTGCCAGATTTAGGTTTGATTGCTTTGTTCGGTTTATTTTCCGCTGTATAATAGATGCGTAAATGTTTCAACATATAAAGAGTCTGACCTATATTGAGGTCGCATACTTTCCAGTTTTAACCGAGAAACACCGACAAACAAAAATGAAAAAATCAGTTAATATCGAAAAATACCTTTTTATTAGGTATTTTTATACAAGGAGCAGTTTTTCCCACCGAAAAAGTCCTACGTAGATGTTCATCAGGCTTGTTCTTTCTTCTTTTTTTTACGGTTGTCACGCTGGGTTGATTGTCAGCATCTCTCGAAGTCTCTTTGTAATCAAGATGTATTTTTTCTGCCTGTGCTGGGGGGGGGGGGGACTTGGACCTTCAGTTTATATCCCCAAAAGTTTGGCCTCATTGTGCCCTTTTGTAGATTGCCCCGTTGAAGCCCTTCATTGTGGACTCAAGTTGACTGGTTTAAAGAGTCTTTCATATTAAGTGGGTCCGTGTTCATAAAAAGAAGTATAGCTTGGTTTGGAGTTCTTTGTGTGGGTTTTATATACAAGGTTGTGGTTCTTCTCTTGGGAATCGGGCACCTTGTTTGTCTCTCATTACCTTGAGGTTAGAGCAGTCTTAATGTTCTATTCAACGGGACAATTCACCGAAATGCACCGGTATTTCGGAAATAAATAAATACACCGAAAAACATCCGCCGATTTTTGACACAATACGGGAAAGTCTGCCTATCTTCTACTGACATAATGGTTGTTGTCTTGTGGTCAACCGGGAACAAGTATGTCACGTACCAGCTTGTCATCTTTTCTGCCAGCATTGACCCCTGAAATGTTCTGCCCCAGAAAATGCAGGCCCAGTTCCTGGACAACATCCTGACCCAGCTGAGGCCCGAACCGGAGTACTTCCGAGTGGGCTTCTACGGACTCGGCTTTCCCGTCTTCCTCCGTGTAAGTCCGTTCGACCTGCCACCGGATGCCACGCAGGCACCCGCACCAATTGGGAGAACAAGGGGGCCCTTGTTTGAGTCGACACCCTGGTTACGGGAGTCTGCCTCGTGGTTGGACCGCAGGAGGTCTCGGTATTTGAACCAAAAGTATAGTTAATTTTTTATCTAGATGTTTCTAGCAAAAAAGTAAACAACATTTATAATACTGGGCTGTTTGTGCGGTACATTCTCTATTAAATGCCTCACCTAACGAGAGGTTAATAAACGGGCTAGCTGATTAATGTTACAGATGATTCTAACCTTGAGACGTGTGTGCTGGTCCCTCGTGCACTTGCCGTCCATTGTCTTCAGTTAGAATCGTCTCTATCATTTAAAACATTGAAATCATTTATGGAAATGCAACATTGATCGCAAAATCGTGCAAATGATAAGGAAACTAATTTTTTTGCCCCTTGCTTTTCTTTTGGGCAGAACAAGGTGTTTGTCTACCGGGGCCTCGAGTATGAGAAAGTGGTGGCCTTCACTCAGCGCATGCAGAGCCAGTTTCCCCAGGCACAGCTGCTGACCAAGAACGCCCCGCCCGACATCGGCATCCTCGGCTCGGACGAGCAGCGTAAGTTGGGGGGGCGACACGCCCCAGAAGCCCCAGGGATGGCTCTAGCGGGCCATCATCTCACACACTGAGACGCGCAAGTTCCAGGACTATGGAAACGTGTGCCTATAGCAGACTGGAGCTGATTGTTTCGTTATACATTTGGACATAATCCGTGCGTGCAGAGAGATGATTTTGTCCAAGTAGGTTCTGCAATTGCTGCGATACATCGAGAAATCGTGAGCGAGGCAAGCAGTGCTCGACAACATTTTATTCAAAATTACTTTTATAGAGCGGTACGTTAACACACCGTAGTTGAGCTTGTATTACGGTACGTTAACACCAAGTTTTGCATTCATTTAGTCAAAAGTCAATGGAAGCAAGCTTTAATCTGTTGAGGGTTGTTGTAGTTACACAAACAAATGCAAAACTTACTTCTATTAAGGTTATGATGTGCCACTCCATAAATAATAGACGTCTGCAAATATTGAAATTTTTCAAAGAGAATTGAGTCGAATAAGGAACGTTACGAATCAAATCAAATAGAATATTTTCAAATACAAATAGTAGTTTCGGATAAGAACATTTTTGAGAACAAATATTTTATATTTGATGTGAATTAAGGGGAGACACTGCTCCTTGAGGCAAAATATATACTAAGAATAGTGTTCTAAAACGTTTAAAAAGCATCCTAGGGCTTTTCTTTATGCCTAACTGTAGTGCACATACCTTTTAGTTCACTGATACATATATGTTTATTTCCTTAATTCGGTATTTTAATTTGTCTTAATCCTTCCCGTAAGCTTTGCACATTAAATTTTCAATACTAACAAAACTAATTAGGTGACATGAGAACCAAGTACATATTTGTAGTCAGATTGTAATGGCAGATAAGCTACGTAAATTTAATTTCAATTGAATCACAAGTTATGCGGAGGACAAGTTCATCTGCTTCTTGCGCAGGGGGTAGTGGTGACGTCAGAACGCCGAGCCCCAATTGTATCTGAGCGTCGTCTGCTCCTTTGCAACGTCGTCTGCTCGCAACGTCGTCTGTGCCTGTCTTACCTTTCCTGCGACTTTCGGAAGTGCGGGTCTTTACGAGCGAGCTTGACTTCGCCTTTCAGAGAGGGCAGACGAAATAACTCGAGCGGTAGGTTGTTTTTGTCTAACAACTAGCAGACGCGCATCAAGGAGAGAAGTCAAAGGAGTCACTGGCGAGGTGTCCCGAGGCGCCGAGGTTTGTTTGCTAAGAACCGAGAGTGAGGGTGGTTAGTGTCTGCAAGTTCCCTCCCAAATACTTTTTCCCTCCTCTCGTGTGCGGACGAGACTCCTCATTCTTTAGCGGCGTCGACGAGTTGGCGCAGTTAACATCGTCTGCTTTACATCTGCTAGTCAAAGCGATGACTGCTTTACCTTTCCTGTGTTAGTGTTACGTGTGGGTATGCCGAATTAGCAGTTATGGCGGAGGTGCGCATCTAGCCACCGTGCACGGTGGAACCCCCCCGTTTCAAAAGATCAATTACCGCATTTTTTAGGGGCGAAGCCTCTTAGGGTCTAGCCTTGTCCATCCGGCATCCGTGCTCACATTGATCTTGCTGGTGCTCATGCTCGTGAGCTCACGTGCTCGTGTAGGGGGAAAAAAAAAAAATTATGAGAAAAAAAAAATGTTCGCGCAGTCGACGGGATTTAAAACTGTGCGGGGAGATCCCAATGGATTTCTAGTCCATCGCCTTAACCACTCGGCCACGACTGCGGGACGAGTAGGGGGCTCTGGGATGTGGTAGTAACTCAAGAGCTGGGGTTTCCGTCATGGATGAAACGTTGCATGTAGCCGCTCAACGTCTATACAGGAGAGGGCGCTGCGGTCAAATGCGTATATAATCGCGTTAAACTTTGCATGCATTGGCTCAACGTTTATAGACGAGAAGGCGCTGCGGTCAACTGCGTATAGAACCATGTTCCATACCCCACATTCACTTTCTGACGTGGATGAAAACGAACCTAAGGCTCGGCATGGTGTGGCTCAGCGTCTACGCAGACAAGCACCACCAGGGCTTTGCCCCAGTCAACATCATTCAGCACGTGGAGATGCGGTCAGTTTTGGCCTCTAACTCACTCTGTGTGTGTAGCACTTCTCCGTACTGAGATATGGTGCACTGCGAAGGACGGCACATGGAGTCATTGCAGCCTCTGCCACCAAACTTTTAACCGTCCCAGAAATTTTAAAATGGTGAACCGTTTTAGTATATAGTAAAGGATTCATAGCCAGATGAAAGGGGGGATACAATGAAGTATGAAAGCCCAGAGAAACAGCTGGCTTAATTCCCCCTCCCGGGGCAGGACTAAGCCGCAGATGAGAGGCCGGAGTGGTCCGGCACCTATCCTCCATGTTTCGTACCATGATGGGGAAAGTTGGCCACCTTGCTGGCCTCTCGCACCTCTCCGTGCATCTCCCGTCTCGGGAAGACCCACAAACGATCCCCTCGTTGGAGCCACAGTGAATAAGCATACAGTGGTCCCACTCAAGGCCCCTTCCAGTAATTGGGCGTTAGGCAGCGCCCCTCACCACACATCGCAAACACTTTTTATGTTTCTGATTTCTTGTCACAGAATGCCGTGTAAAAGTAATCGTTATAAAACAAAGGAATTACACCAGTAATGCTAATTTTTAAAAATAGGAGAGACCCCATTTCGGGAAGGAATAAAAGAATGCTTGACCGAAAACCGTTACCCAGGGCTACGACCAATGAGAGGAGCCGAGGCGCCGGGCGACGGGCTGTGGAGATTGCGGAGCACACTCGCGTTTTTGGCATTTAAATTCGAAGCGTTCGAAGCTCATAATAAAGCACATGCTGACAAGCTAGTAAATCGTCTATTCTAAGTTTTGTTATTGCAAATAGCATTGTGTTATATACTATACTTCGCTACTCTGAAAGCCGTTGTTTCCGTGGCAAATATCGCGGAGTAACTCGTCGTTACACAGACTCATATAGTGGTGAATTATAAACGTGTGTATATTAAGTTTTGTGAGGTGCTGATTTCCCTCCTTTCATCAGTGAAGCTAGTGCCGAATCGTCTTTCTATTTGGAATCATGAACAACAAAGTAACTGCAGCTTTGCACATGTAGAGAGAGGCTCGAAACTGATGCAGCCCAAACAAAACTGAAGAAATCACTGAGCATACTCCGGTGTCACAAGTTTCGATTTAGAATTTACTGATCACATTCATTTTAATGTGTTCTCAAGTAGTGCCCTTGAAATAAGGGCACCCAGCTAGCGCAAACATATGTGAACCTTCTGGTAGGTACAAACCTTAGTTCAGATTGTGTTAGAAAAAAAAAAAAAATTCCTCGGCGAATTGCTGCGTTGAAAACGGCACTACGTCTCCTTGTCGATTGGTGTTAGAAAAAAATTAAGTGTTCACATCTGCTAAAAACAAACAACACATGGGGATGTTGCTGCTCAAGCTCTCTCACATGTTCTGTTCATGATATTAGTCCACACAAAACTAAAAGAGAGAATTTTATCATTTAAGAAACCTTGTACGACTCGTCATATGCGCCATTCCCTTGATCAGTAAAAGAGCTCCGAGCGCTCTAAAAAAGCCCGTTCTTTATTTAAGCAACAGAACTTGTGACACGGAGAACGGTCAGATACTTTCAATTCTGTAGAATTTCTTAACTGCTGTTGATAATGCTGTGTGCGTGCAGTTTTGAGTTTTTACTGTATTGTTTACTTGTACAATACATATATTATTTGATGTGCTCTATTTTTCGTGCCTCTTGATGTCCTTGTGACCTGTCAAAATGTGTTGCATTAAGCTGTGTGTTTGATCATTGCGTTTCACACTTGCCCTAAAAGCTGCCATCCACAATATTTCTGCCATGACATGCCAATACTCAAAAAAAAAAAAGTGTTGTCGGCCTTGTTTCATTTTTGTGAATTGACCAGCACCCGTGCAAACTTTTTTGTATGGCCGTATTATGTGCTATGTTTGTGACCCTTTTTGATTGACTTATACCATGGAGAGATCCAATAAACAGTCCCCTAAATGAAAAAAAATGACCACATCTCCACGTGGTGAATGATGTCGATTGGGGCGAAGCTCTGGTGGTGCTAATGATACTGATTTTGTTCAAGTGCTGATGGTGCTGATTTTTTTTCTATGTCAGAAAGAAAATGTGTGGTATGGAACATGGTTATATACACAGTTGAGAATTTGACTGCAGCGCCCTCTTTTGTATAGACGTTGAGCGGGTACATGCAATGTTTCATCCATGACAGAAACCCCAGCTCTTGAGTTACTACCATATCTCAGAGCCCCCTACTCGTCCCGCAGTTATGGCCGAGTGGTTAAGGCGATGGACTAGAAATCCATTGGGGTCTCCCCGCACAGGTTCGAATCCTGTCGACTGCGCAAACATTTATTTTTTTATTTATTTATTTTTTTTTTTTTTTTGCCTTACACGAGCACATGAGCTCACGAGCACAAGTACCAGCAAGATCGTTGTGAGCACGGACCCCGGACAGACAAGGCTAAACCCTAAGAAGCTTTGCCCCTAAAAGTCGAATTAACCGTGGTCGAACTAACGAAAGTTTACAGTAGAAGCAAACTCAAGTGCAGTGCATCCGCATGCTCCGCATTGCGTATGTGCGTTGTTGCCATGCTTAAGACCGCAATTTTGTGCTCTGCGCGTGCTCAGTGTGGAACACGCAACGCTAACGCAAACACGCAGTGCTTGCGTTTGCTTGTACATGGAATACTAAAACTCTCTACTGTTTGAAGCGTTTTCCAACGCCAACAGAACATACTGCAGTGAAAGGACATACAAACGGATAAGCACTTCTTCGAACTGGAAAGGCTGAGATTAGCAAAACGATCACGCACAAAAATAAAAGAAAATTAATCTTCTTAAAAGTTTTGCGATTAAAAAAAATCTTTCTTTTTGTATCGGGGGTTTTTGGGTGAGAGGGATTGGCGGCGAATTCGGAAGATTTGTCAATTGTCAGAAGTCGTGACTTTGATAGGCTAGCACCATGTGCTCTACCCACTGTTAATGTCATTCTATGTGGATTTCTCAGACTAGCTAAACTTTTTTTCATTTTTTTTAATACTATTTCTATTTTATAACCTGTTAATTAAACATCCTGCAGTTGGCAACAGTGATGATGATTTGCCAACTTTTGATTGCCATAGTTGTTTGCATGTTTTGAATTAGACCATAAGCAACAAATGATATTAAAGCTTGAAAAACTACATTAAAATCACTTACCCTAATTGTATTATTAATGATGAAAATGGCGGCAATGTAGGCCCTTAACAAACTCTACCATCACAAAAATATGCTGTTTAACCATAATTGTCTTTACAGAAAGGTCTTATTTTGTCTTCTTTTTAGAATATGAAAACCTCTGACATCAAGATGGACGTAAACTCTGGATGTCAGACAAAGTCCCGCATTGCCTTAGAAAGTCATACACTTCTGCCGTCTGCCTCGGATTTCATTTAATGCTTTTTGTAGTGAGAACAGCGTTTCTTAACTTATAGGTTTTGGGAACATTTTCCAAACTCATCACCCGTGGCGATATTTTGTGAAATTTGGATCGATTTTGTTATTCTTGTGCTGGGAATAGTGTTAAAGGAGCTGCGCAACAATCTCGGTGCTTTGCTTAAATAATTTGGGAGTTGGTGTCTCCACCTTTCTGAAGTAAAGGACAAAAAACTGCTTTTGCCTGCATGCCCCAGTTTTTATTTTAAACATGGACAAACATCCAGGGTTTTGCCACCTCTCAGCTCGTACGTCGTCTTCCGAGTCACGTGCACTGTGACGTCTACGGGGCTGACACGGGGTTCCGGTGAAGCTCTCTCTCTAGAGCCATCAGTGAGCAGCGAGAACTGATCCGCTCGCGACCGCGTGACCACGTGCTGGCACAGCGCAAACAGTATGGGGAAGAAGGAGAGTCTCATCCGGGTCCGGCCCTTGTCCCCCTCCGGCTTCTGGCGGCTGTTCGCAGTAGAAGATAGAGCTGACGGTTTTGTGAACCTAGGATAGATGGCGCCACTAAAACTCCGTATAATAAAAGGTTTGTCGATGATACCAGGTTTTTGACGTATTTGTATTTTTATATTTATGTTGGAACGACAAGATTTATGAAAAGTTACCCTTTATCGAGCAGATATTTGCACAACTTCCTATCTGTTTACAAGTCCCCCGTTGACGTCGTGCTGCGTGGTGCTCATGGCCGCCGCTCGCGGCTGCAGGTTGGCGAATATTCCAACTTTTGCCTCGCGATTACGCGGCGTTTCGAAGGAAGGAGATGTGTTTTCTGTCTTTTGTGACAAGATAAATAATGTCAAAAGCAGAAGATGCCAATCCTTTCAACATTAAAATCGTTGCACTGCTCCTTTAAAGCAATTAACAGGGGTGGAACGGCTGCGCCATTTGCGCCATTTTGCGCCATACGCATTTGTCTGCGCCATCCTGCGCCATGTTGCGGAAATTGCGCCACAACCAATACCTGGCGCCATTATGCACCAAATCGCAAAACGTGCGCCAAAAAAATAATTAGTATTTTGTTTTGGTTTCGGTTTCTATCGACTCGATTGGCAACAGTGAGCGCGTTTAGCTGGGTCGACCTTGCAATAATTTTATCTCTTTATTCTCCCTGTGTACCCCGAATCTTGAAGCGCGCGAAAGAAATCGGAGGTCTGATTTCAAGCACTACATCACCTGCTACTACTCTTCAACCATAAGCGGCTAAGCAAGTCGGCCGAAGTGAGGTCGAGCCGTTAAGCGTCAGATTGCCTCGGGCTCTGCGGCCCGGGATCCGGACGTCAGCCAGTTAAAAACAAATGGGCAAAAGATTCCTTTTAGTACTTCATTGTTAGAAGCTGGAACCGCATTCCCGCAAGAAAAATCGTGATTTGATAACTTCTGAAACGCGGCCCAATCCGAAACCTTGCCGGCCAGCAGCTCTCACGCAAGCGGTAGATCTGCTCGGCGTACTTTAACCTTGTTCCTTATTGCTTCGAATACGATAACTCCGTTAATCGTAGTCTGCTGCTTCGATATTGAGTTGCCCAATAGGATAAACTCAAAATTTGTTTACCTGTTCCTTCGCGCACCTGCACGCCCGTTGCTTAAGCACGTCACGTGGTTCACACGTATAATTACTATGTCGAGCACGTGTGGGTTTTGCGATAAGCAATGCTGCTTTGCATTCTGAGCTGCTGAAAGCCAGTCAGAAGATATCAAGGGCGCTATCTTCAGAAACATGTGGTTATTCCCTGTTGGTTCTCATTAAGGCTCACACAGTTTCAAGTTTTCGCATCCTTCACAATGTCATCCGATCTAACGAGGTCCCTAACCGTGCACTCGTGTTCATATGTGCTGCTAAGCACAATTGAAATTGCTCCCGTGCTTGACTAAAACTCCAGCTGAAATGCAATGAAAACTAATCTGAGCTGCTCCTAACCTGCTCCGAAATGTAGTTTTAGCTGCTCCCAACCTGCTCCAAAACAGCTGTTTCAGCTGCTCCCGTGGCTGCTCCAAAGTACATTTCGTGAGTTCCACGCCTGAATTAATCATCTAAATGGCCCAAAACCCATTAAAGGGATAATTCAACAATATTTGAAATATATCCCTCGTGTTCAAAAATAAGTTGAATATGATCCACAATATCCGTAAATGACAATCGCACGTTTGTATTTTGAGCCTGCTGGCTGTATTTTTCGTTATAAACGGCCCACTCTGGCAATCGCTCGAAGAAAGCCCAGCTGAGACCACGTGACATCCAACGCAATTGTGACGTAGGTCGTCTCAGGACGAGCAAAGCTACGGCGAGGCTGACGTCGAGGGGATGGCCCAGTCGTTCCAGCCACCGAAGCGGCTGCTTTTGTACGAATTTGGAGTGACGGGTTAATCTTCTATAATCTTGTGGGGGGAGAATAGCGACTTCTGCGACACACAAGAGGCATTCTCGGGAAGAGGGGAGTTCCTCCTGCCCCTCTTCTCTCGTCATGGCCGGAGGCGAGACAACCTCCGTCATTAGCTGTCGAGGTTCCTAGACGGGCATTACAAGCGAGGCGTTAGTGACATCCACCAGGTGCTCTTTGCTAATCGTTTAATTCGTTTTAAAAATCCTTTTCGTGACTTTTTTAACAAGATAGTGGTATGTTCGATGTGATGCTGCTCCTTTTAAAGGAATATAGACCAAAAAATGAGCGCCGAAATTTTGTTGTAGTATCCCTTTAAAGGGCCCACAGTTCATTATTTAACATGGTAGTTATCTGAGTGAGAAAAAGGAGCAAGAAAACACAAATGTCAGCTCTGATTTGTTTTCAATAAATGCAATATTAAATGTTAACTCTAAGGTTTATGAAAGACTGTCTTTAATGGGACACTGAACTCTCCAAAATATTCTGAAGTGCCTGAATCGGACGTCCCTAAAGTTTCCGCGAACAACTTCTTTAGCTCATTGTTTACGCTGTGAGAAGCATCTCAAGTGAGATGAGAAACCGAAATTAACACCCATATCGATAAATTAAGTCCCAAATAGAAGTTAGTTTCGGTTTCGTTCCTGAATTAAAATGTGCCTCTTGGCATAGATTTCACGCTAAACACCGTTCTTGTTTTCACGATTAAGAGTTTACCTCCGTGCATAACACCCTAGCTTTCTCGTATAAGTGGGAATAATTTGAGTTGCTCAGTGAAGCCAGCACACTAGGCAGGCTCAGCAACTGGTATACCAGCACGCATCCCCGACCCTCACTGTAACCGCCATCTAGGAAAACGAGGGGTGCCGCCTACCGTAAAAACCCGCATATTAAACAAAACATGATTTGAAGCCCACGATAACAAAAAAAAAGTTATATTGGCATATAATGCAAAACAATTTAAGGACCACGAAAACTTTTCGCTTAAAATGCGACCCAGGAAGTCTTAAGAAAAATGTTTATTTGCTCAATGAAAGAATGGTTAAAGTGCAGGCGAGTTGTTGTAAGTTATACATGATGATTGAAACCTGAGACTGTGGTTTGAAAAACGGAAGCTCGTGAAATAGGAGGAAAAAGAGACAGACAACGTCTCTAACTCAGCTGAACACTCTATTGCCTCTATGCCTCAGGTACACCTCCCCAAACGTGGCCACCACCACAACGGTTGATCACCAAACTACAAACAAGACACCAGAATCACAATACACCAAACTGCAAACAATACATAAAAAAAAATAAAAGAGAAGCGTGCCCTATCGTTTCCATCTTCACCCAGTACACGGTGTCCTATTTCGGTTAGAACCGAATTTCCGCAAATGGATTCGGCGTACTTTTATCGTTTTTTATCGGTTTAAACCGAAAACTCCAAGCCCTAGTTATATACAATAAACAAAACTCTGGTGCTGTTGCTTCTAAGCTGTTTTGTGCCTTATCCTTAGGACTTTCCACAGCTTGTACTCACCGGTAGGACTTGGACTGTTCTCGATGTTCAGTTCTCCTAACAACTCCCTAACGTTGCCGTGCAACACTGGGTGCGCAGACCTTCAGATCTGCAGCGTAAAGCCCCTTCCCGAGCGCCGGCCAGAGTTTGACGGCCGCGAGGTGCCGGACAAGGTGCTCAACTACTACCTGGTGAACGACGTCCGCATGTTCCAGTTCGATCGTCCCATCCACAAGGAGCCCATCGACAAGGACAACGAGTTCAAGGTGCCACTTCTTCCTTAAAAAGTTATCTGTGCCTCTGGCTGCCTAATGTTTGCATGTAGTTTTTAACCAAAGGCTCGGTCTGCATAATCTCAGTAGGATGGAAGTAAGCTAAACGGTGAACTTTTTGGTTTGAGTTGATATTTGTGAATTTATCTCAACAAAAAAGGGGCATTATAACGATGGGGAGGAGTCTAGGGAATGAAGCAGGCATGCTGTGTTGATGGGCTCTCGCTTGAGTAAGGGAGCCTCTTTGATACAAATTATTTGATTGCCATTTTGCCAGTTGGTTCATTCACTTTCACAAAGATGCTTTTGCAATGCACGTCCAGAGCATGAAAACTTTCGGTGCTTCACTTATTTATAAAGTTTCATAATTTTCGGTGACTTTGAGTGTTTGAAAGCTTACTGCAGTGCAGTGTTGCTTATATGACAAATATTCACAACTACAATTTTCATTATAATTGGTCGACTTTGGGGCTTGTTATAATCCATCTGTAGTGCATGGATTCGCTGCCTTGTTCATTGACTATGTGCACTGCCTTTTCTGCCGTCTAGATCTATTTATACCTAGGGTCTGGCAGTCGTTCAAAGGCGCCGACAGTGTAAGAATCATTGGCAGAGATACTGGCGACAGAAATCTCACCTCTTGTCTGTCATTTTGTGTTACGGACACTGAAGGAAGCATTTCTGTCTCGGTAGAGCGACATGAACCGCTTTTGCCCTACTTTATGTTGTCACATGAGGGCAACACAGAAGGGAGGAGAGGTTGCCGGCCACACTACTCCGACATAAACCGTTCTGGTGCCTTCGAGTCTTTGGAAAGTTCCCAGAGGTTCCAGACTCTTGTAAAGTTTTCAGTAGTTCCAAAGAGCAGATGCTTTGTCAAATTCCCATAGTTTCAGAGAGCAGAATCTTGTTCCCAGCAGTTTCAAAGAGCAGACCCTTGTAAAGTTACCAGAGGTTCCAGATAATGGACTCTTGTAATGTTCCCAGGGGTTCCAGAGAGCAGACTCTTATAATGTTCCCAGGAGTTCCTGACAGCAGTCTCTTGTAAAGTTTCCAGAGGTTCCAGAGAGAAGACTTTTGTAAAATTCCTAGAGAATCCAGAGAGAAGGCTCTAATAAAGTTCTCGATCAAAGAGCTGATTCTTGTAAAGTTCCCAGATGCATCAAAAGCAGACTTTTGTAAAGTTCCCCAATGTTCCAAAGAGCAGACTCCTGTAAAGATTCCAGAGGTTTCAAAGAGTACACCCTTGTATAATTGCCAGAGGTTCCAAAGAGTGGACTCTTCTAAAGTTCCCAAAGGGTCTTATAGCTGACTTTTGTAAAGTTCCTATCAGTTCCAGAGAGCTGACTCTTGTAAAGTTCCCAGCAGTTCCAGAGAGTGGACTCTTGTGAAGTTCCCAAAGGTTCCAGTAGACATCTGAGTCGTGCGTGGCGCACGATGCAGAGCCTGTGGATCGAGCGCACCACCCTGGAGACGGAGGAGCGCCTTCCCGGGGTGCTCCCCTGGCAGGCGGTGGTGCACCAACGCCTCCAGGAGGTGCCTCCGCTGGTGCACGCCTGCGAGAGCGTCGAGGCCATGAACCAGGAGCTGCGCCGCCTGGTGGCGCTCTTCTCGAGGGAGCCCTCGCGGGGCATCGCGCCCCTCAGCATGCGCCTGGCCGGGGTCATAGAGGCGGCCGTCAATGGTGGCATCGCCAAGTACCAGGAGGCCTTCTTCGGGCCCCGCTTTGCCCTCGACCACCCCGAACAGGCACCGCACATCACCAGGCTCAAGGCCCTCATCCTGGACAAGGTGCGGGCCGGCTTTCCTTGGGGCTTCGCAAGGACCTTCCCACCCAGCTTGCTTTCTCTTTGTGTTTGTTTGGGAAACGGGGCAATCGGGAAACTGTCGGGTAATTTGGCCAAGACGTAGCCACAGCCGTACAAATTTTATGGTTTTTAAGCACTCTTACCTCCGTTTTTGAGATGCGGAGTGGCAGCTATGGGTTCGGTGAGTATTTAAGGCTGGTTCAGACATTTTTGTTTGAGTGGGACCAACTGCACTATGACCGCCATTGACTGTTTACGACGAAATGCTTCTCAGGGCAACTGAGGGCTGCACAACCCATTAACGTGGAATGCAACGAGTTGTACTTCATTCGGTCGTACCAGTCTCTCGACACAAGGGCACCAAACAGAAAAAAATATACACAGGCTTGTGTATATTTTTTCTGTTTATTCTGCTGACAAATGCCAGGGAGCTCAGGTTGTATCCTCCACAAACCACAGTGCATGTGTCATTCGTGCAAGGTGTTCCAATCTTTTAAATGCATTAACTGTCCCATGGAGCACAGCCAGCATTGTCTGTAACCACAAAAAACGAGAGCTAGTCCCATTGGCTGAGTGTAACGGCTCCTAAATGCCCTTTGGCTGAACGAAACGTCGCCCAAATGCAAGTCATCGAGCATTCAGAAATAAAACAAAAAGAAAAGCGCAGCAAAGCAGATGCTTCCTCACAGAAGCCGACAGGGATGCTCAAGGTTAAGGCGGACACGCCTCGGAAATAAAACACAAAAAAAGCAGAGCAACACAGATGCGTCGTCACGGAAGGCGTGGAGCCGGCGGAGTTTGCCATGCCTGCGCAGTGGGGGAGCGTGATGTCACTGCCGGAGTGCTGTGTGCGATAGGAAGAGGTGGCACGCTGCTTGTAGGAATGCTTTGGCATTCCTACACATTGTTTAGTAAGCTAAGTTCCGCGTGTTATTGCGTGCCGGAGGTGGGGGGGCTGCTAGAGGACGACCAAGTAAAGAACACTCTTTGTCTGGGCTCGAGAAGGAATGGTTGTGTTCTTGTCCCTGTGCTAACACAACATGGTGGCAGCAACTGTTTAAGGACGTTAGCCCTGAGAGGACTTCAGTAAGAAGTGTACCAGGACGACGACTGCGAACTGATGACAACAGAAGCCGGCAGTTCTCAAGAACCTGATGTTCGGATCGCCATGGCGGCTCCACTCTTCGCATGCCATCCACCGGAAGAGTTAGACTTTTCCAAGTCAGAGGACTGGCCCTAGTGGATTGAGAGGTTCGAGCGCTTTCGAGTGGTGAGTGGACTCCAAGCAAAAAGCGGTTCCGAACAGGTCAGTTCCTTAGTCTACTGCATGGGAGACAAGAGCGAGGATATTCTTCTCTCGCTGAAGCTGACAGAGGCGCAAATGCAGCAGTACGACGCAGTACGAAATGCGTTCGAAGAGCATTTCATTGTTCGAAAGAATGTAATTTACGACAGGGCCAAGTTTCATTCGCGAGTGCAAGAGTCGTTGGAGTCAGTAGAAGACTTCATAACAGCACTTCATGGATTGGCCAAGTACTGCCGGTTCGACAACCTACACGACGAAATGATCATGGACCGCATCGTAGTGGGCGTTCGAGACAGGAAGTTGTCCGAGCGAATGGAGCTCGACGCGAAGCTGACATCAGAAAAAGCAACCACAATGGCACATCAGTCAGAGACTGTGAAGAAGCAGCAAGCTGATCTTCACCTAGAAGACAGTCTCAATCGAGTGTCCGCGGCGCCATTACCGACGCCCAAGGTGAATGCGAGAAGGTCTTCCAAAGAGGCTGCTAAGGAAACGTGTCAGTTGTGTGGCCGGAGTTCTCATTCACGAAATAGATGTCCCGCTAAACAAGCAACCTGCAACAAGTGCAAGAAAATAGGACATTTTGCAAAAGTTTGCCGCAGCTCCATGATAGTCAGAGAAGTCAAAGCCAAAGTGCCCGCCTTTCTTGGAGTCATAGAATCAGCCGAGGAAGACGCATAGAGGCTTGTACTGACAGTCCAGGCAGCTCCAGTGTCTTTCAAGATAGACACAGGAGCAGACATCACTGCGATTCCAGAAAGAATCTACAGACAGTACCTCAGTGCATTGCCTCTGGCTGAAGCCAAAAGAGTAGTAAAGGGCCCAGCCGAACAAAGTTGAGCGTACTGGGTGTACCGAGAGCAGATATTCGCCATAGAGAAAAGCGCCTATCCGCTGATGTCTATGTCCTAGAAGAGCTAGACGAACCACTTTTGTCGAGAGGCCACTCTGTGGAGTTGGGACTTGTACAGAGACTCAGTGCGGTAGTCGACACGAAAAACGGGATAGTCGATCCAAAGGGCGAGTTTCCGGAACTTTTTCAAGGCCTTGGCTGCGTGAAGCAGCCTTACAAGATTAAGTTACGCAAGGATGCAGTTCCTTTGTCTCTGAGCACTCCACGAAGAATCCCGATTCCCTTAATGGAAAAGATCAAGGAAGAGCTCGACAGTATGATCACCCTGGGTGTAATCGAAAGTGTGGACGAGCCCACAGACTGGTGCTCAGCAATGGTAGTCGTGACAAAGTCCAACGGAAGCTACAGAATTTGCGTTGACTTCACAGAGCTGAACAAGTATGTGGATTGAGAAAGACATCCGCTTCCAGTGACGGACCACGTACTGGGACAACTTGGGAATGCGAAGTTCTTCTCAAAAATTGATGCAAATTCTGGATTCTGGCAGTTTGAGCTTGCTCAAGAGTCCCAGATTCTGACCACCTTCATCACACCATTTGGACGCTTTAAGTTTAAGCGACTTCCGTTCGGTATTACATCTGCTCCAGAGTTCTTCCAGAAGAAGATGAGCCAGCTTCTGAGCGGAATCAAAGGACAAGTTTGCAACATGGACGACATCCTTGTGTACGGATCCACAAGAGCAGAACACGACAGAAACCTGCGAGACGTCCTCTCTCGACTCAGGCAAGCAGGAATTACCCTGAACGAAACTAAATGTCGGTTCACAGAAACTCAGGTAAAGTTTCTTGGGCATATCATCGACCAAGAAGGAGTTTGTCCAGATCAAGAGAAGGTAGAAGCCATCGTGAACATGAAAGCTCCCACCTGTATCACGGAGCTGAAGAGCTTTCTTGGAACGGTTAATTACCTCGAGAAATTTTCTCCCAGTTTGGCCCAAGAGTCACACCCGCTGGTCGCGTTACTGAGTTCCAAAAACCAATGGGCCTGGAACCACAAACAACAGAGGGCTTTTGAAAAGCTAAAGTTGATTTTGACATCAGACCCGATACTCGTTTTGTTTGACCCAAGAAAATCAACCATGTTGTCGACAGACGCCTCTTCTTTTGGAATTGGCGCAGTATTGCGCCAGAAGCAAGAGAACGGGATCTACAGGCCAGTGGCGTACGCGTCGAGAACACTCAGCGAAACAGAAAGGCGATACGCCCAGATCGAAAAGGAAGGACTGGTGGTGGTCTGGGGGTGCAAAAAGTTTCGAGACTTGATAACCGGGATGAAAATCCAGACCGAGACGGACCACAAACCGCTGGTTCCTATGTTTTCGTCCAAGAGCTTGGAAGACATCACGCCAAGACTGCAGCGAATGAAACTCTGGATGATGAGGTTTTCTCATGATATCACACACGTTCCCGGAGAAGACCTAGTGGTGGCTGACTTCCTCTCCAGAAATCCTCTGGAGCAGACACCGGACAAGGAGATGGAGGACGAGATGTCAGCATATGTGTGAGGTCTCACTGCAAATCTACCAGCAATGGACGAAAAGTTGAAAGAAATCCAAGCTAACCAGAAAATTGACGCAACATGTCGCAACACACTTCAGTGGAGAGGCCAGCCAAGAAAGCGTTAGACCAGCAGTGCAGTGCCTATTGGCAGCACAGAAGTGACATTGCAGTGGAAGACGGCCTTCTAATGAGGGGGCCGAGGATAATCATTCCTAAGGCAATGAGAAATCAAGTCTTGAACAACATTCACCAGGGTCACCAAGGTATCGTTAAATGCAGAGCCCGTGAATCGGTGTGGTGGCCAGGCTTGTCTAAGCAGATAGAAGAACGAGTAAAAGGGTGCACACAGTGCATTCATGAAACAATCAACCGCCGAGAGCCTTTGATACCAACTCCGTTTCCTGAACGGCCTTGGCAGCAAGTAGGCGTAGATCTTTTCTACCTAAAAAACAAGTGGTACTTGCTACTGACGGATTATTGCTCCAGATACCCCGATGTTGCTCCCTTGGCCAGCTTGTCAGCCGTTTCTGTCGTCGGCCACATGAAGTCTATCTTCGCAAGCCATAACCCAACCAGAAACCGTATACAGCGACAACGGACCACAGTTCCAAAGATAAATTGGATCCGAGTTCTTCAAGTTCTCGAAAGAAGGGGGTCAGAAACCTCTAGCCCAATGTTTCCACAAAGCAACGGTTTTGTGGAAGCTGCAGTGAAGATCATCAAGAGGAGCTGGAAGAAAACGGATGATGCGTGCCGTGTATTACAGTCATACCGTGCTACCCCCCTTGCAAACAGGTTTAGCCCAGCTGAACTTCTAATGGGCCGAAGAATTCCAACATCTGTCCCAATTGTTCCTTCTTTGTTAAAACCTGTTACTCCCGACCCTCAGAAGCTACAGAAGTGGGAGGAAGGAAACAAGGAGAAACAGAAACGTAACTTTGACACGAGACATGCCGCACGTCCGTTGAAACCTCTGCAGAGCGGACAACGCGTCTGGACAATTGACCAGAGGACAAGCGGAATGGTGCAGTCTCAAGCAGGTCCACTTCACTCCTACCAGGTGAAAACGGACCGTGGGATTGTAAGGCGCAACAGATTCCATCTGGTACCGTCGACTCCAACCTCTTCTGGGGTTCCGGCTACCAGTGACAGGGTGCAGCCTCTACCAGAGCTGCCAGCAGCTCCTAGTGGGCCACAAGGTCTGACTGTCACCAGAAGTGGACGGACAGTGAAGTCGGTGAATAGATTGAACTTGTAATACTATCCGACCAAAAGGGGGAGGTGTTCAGTAAGCTAAGTTAGTTATCGCGTGCCGGAGGTTGGGGGGCTGCTAGAGGACGACCAAGTAAAGAACACTCTTGGTCTGGGCTCGAGAAGGAATGGTTGTGTTCTTGTCCCTATGCTAACACAACACACATATGCAATCGTGTCTCTGCCAAATGTTTTATTATCCATTTTTTGTTTATTAACTTTTTCAATTTCTCACAGTATTTTGGCTTTGCATTTTTTACATTTATTTTATCTTATTTTATTTCTACTTTATTATCCTATTTTTGTTTTATTTATTTTATTTGTTTATTTTTATCTATTTGATGATTATTATTATTAAAAGTATTATTTTCATCTAAAACCTTCCCCTGTCCCTGGCACTTTTGCTTTTAAATCAAAACATTGGCCAATCCACGTCTGCAAACTTGTAGCTCAGTGACTCTAGCATCTGAATACCACCACACCGACCCGGGTTCAAGCTCTGTCGGGGCTCAAACTTTTAACTTTATATAACCTTAATGCCTGTACTGTTCCCAGCGTGTCACTCGTTCACGACGCTCACTATGATGCTTGTTTGTGACGGTTTTTTGTAGAAAATGTTGAGTGAAGCAAATTCTATGTTAAAAAATAATTTCAACTCGCAGCACGCGTCACTTGGGAAGTTTCTTGGCCCAGTCTGGGCTCGGAGTTTGCCGGGCCACTCGCAATTTCTTTGTTCTACCACACAAGCGAGAGAATCCTGCTGAGAGTGCGAAAGAAGTCCATAATAATCCGGAGGCTCTAGACGGTGAGACGGACTCTGCCCTGCAGGTGCACATCCTGGAGGGAGGGCTTTCCCTGCACGGCAGACTGGCCCCTCCGGAGGTGCTTCCCCTGCAGCGGCGCCTGGTGGACCGCTTTGTGATCATGAAGCAGTCGGTGCGCGAGGCCGCCTCTCCCGGGCCGAGCTCCAGGGGCTCCCCGGGGGCAGAGAGCAGGAGGCCGTCCATCCTCAGGTGGGTGGGGCTTCTTCCGGCCATTGCGGAGAAGGAAATGGAGGAAACTCGCACCGAAGGCCCCTTTAGATGCTCTCTGATGACCCGTAATCCGCATCTCTTAACAATACCGACATCTTTATAGGAACCCCAAATTGTTCAACTCAAAGACACCACGGTTAGGGAGAGAGAAGCTACGTAGCTGGCAGGTTTGCCCCTTCCTCGTGCGAAAGGGTGCTTTAGCGTCGAGGTACCAAATCGCCGAGCTCTGGCGTCGTGTCTGAGACGTAGCAACGAGTAAACTGTTTTGTTGACTGACAACTACCGGACGAGCTGCGGCAAACAAAGAAGTTGCTTATCGAAGAAAGTGGAATCTGCTGGGGCGAAGCTTGGTCGTACACGCGATTGCTTCTCACTTTTTCGCATCTGCCCTGTCGTGCGCGAAGTGTTGCGTTTTGGTCGACTCAGTCACCGTATAAAAGCAAACCACATAATGTCCCAATTTGCCCTTTCTGGAAGCGTTCCCTTTCTCGAGGGTTTCTGTCCCCTCGCAAGCAAAAGTCTGCTTTGCATGTCTGCCTTCACCTTGACCCTCGAGGTCTTTGGAGGCAAAAAATTCCTAAGACCCCATTCGTTTGAAAAATGCGATGCTTACCTCTACAGCTGTTGCTTTCCTGAATCTACCAGGTTTCTAATTTTGCGGATGAATGTTTGAGCTATAAATCAACTTATAATGTCTTTGCAGGCTGAATGTGCATTCAAGTCGACTCTGAAACACTGTTTTCACAAAACACAATTTTTGGACTCGTTCAAAATTTTCACCGGAGATATCTTAGCATCTAAGGCAGATAGAAACATGTAGCTAAATGTGTGAAGCATGCAATGTTGGGAGGAGATTATGAATATAGGTCTAAGAAATTTTTTAATTTATCTTTTGTTCTAATGCTTGTTAGCCACAGATTGAGCACTGAACTTCAATGTGGGATAAAATCACTACCAATGGGTTAATCTTTAAAGTGCTTCCAACATTGTATTCTCTACACTTTGTAGTATCTAGCCGTGTTATTATGTTGAGTAGTTTTTTCCCTATTGCTCCTACAAACAAAGGCAGGTGAGTTTTACTTCTCTTGAGGACAATTCTACTGACTGAGAAAATGACTACCGTAATATCCCGAGTCATGGCCCACCCCACTTTTTGGGCCAATATTGATTACCAAAATAACGCAGAGGGATTGCCCACTCCTACAAATACCCCAACGCGGGCTCCGTGATCCGCAAACATTCATCCTACCTGAATGACGTGGTTGCGAACCTTACGGTTGGAGGACATCCCTGACAAAGTAAAACGAAGGAGAGAAAGACACTTCTCTTTGTTTACGCATTTCCTCTGCGAGCGACCCCGAAGTTGTAGTGTATCCGTGCGAAAAGAAAACTTGGGAGATAACAAAATAAAAGTGTGTCTTGCCTACAAAAAATTCAACACCGAAAAAAAAAAAAAAAAAAAGGTTGGGAAGGTTACACAAGCACTTACCCATTCAGGGATCGTGAGGTCAGCGAACACCCCATATCCTGGAACCGCTGAGTGTAAGGTCCAAGTCCATCTCCACCGAAATAAGGTTGCCGCGGACCCTTGCGGCATGTTGCGACCACGGTTTTGCTATGCTTAAAGGGGCACTCAGGTGGTTTTTGAGTTTGTGTTTAAATGATGACAGCTGAATTTAGACGCCCTAGTATCCCTAAAAACCAAAAAGTATAGTCATACGGTGATTATTTTTAATAAAAGTGTAATTGAAGGCCGCCAAACCTCGGATCCAGCCGAAAACGAAACCATTCTCATTGGTCCTCGCACGCTTATCAAAAAGATCTCGGGCCAACGGTGTTGGACAACGTTCCGTCGCGCAGTGATCCCGAAATAGTTGCATCGGCCGAACCTCTTTGTCATTCGAGCTTCGATCATGGCGGAGTTCTCTACGCTCGAGGACCTGACGCCGTTAGAGGTTGAAGTTCTTCGGCGGACAGCCGACCTGGGGATGATTTCCTATGACGCCACTCCGACGTGCGATGTGGACGATAGCAGCGCTTCGGAGTCATGTTCGAGTTCCGAGGACGAGGAAACGCAGACCTTTTCGGGCGTTCTTCGATTTGCGGTTGGGGCAAGTCGTAACCAGACCAACGTTTGACATTGCAGCGTTACCTCTGGTACGTGATGTCAAACGATGTCGCCGCGTTGACTTTCGTCTCGGGAGGACGGGGGTAAGGCTGGTTCAGACATGTGCAACGAGCGCGTACCTACGACTGCGTGCGTTGCAACCGGAGCGACCGGAACGACCGCTCTGCAAACACTACAAGCGCAGCGGGTCGTCAGCACAGCGACCGCTTCTATACACCAGCGTCAGCTGTTTCAGCGGCCCCTCTAAAAAGGGGACGCACTGCTACTCAATGCCATAACAGAATATAGACAGACAATTTTCTATAACCTAAAGCTTTATTATTATTTTTTCTTGATAGGCTTGCAGGGTACAGTGGGTGAAAAAAAAATGAAATAAAAAGATGCAGTCCGCCGTCTTGGACGATCACGACTCTAATACAGTACACTGCAGTAGTACAAATATCGCCACACACATTTTCTACGATTATAAAAGACAATGTAATCTTAGCAGCGATATAGCAACGTAGAAATATGATTTCGTGATCAGGTAGACGTTGCGAGCGTTCAGGATTGCTAACCCTAATCACTTTTCTCCGGTGATGAAAATGCATAAAAAGTTGCATCCTTTATACGGTACGTGCCAGTAATACCTTGAACTTGAGTACACGCATGAAATGCGCCGAATAAGAAATCCGGGCGATGTTCGAGGACACAAATGCTAAGAAAGCATCACTGTAGTCGAAGTAAACAAACACGACGGCACGGGCGTTTCTGCTGTCTTGAGAGTGCCGCCACAACATTGCCGCACGCGTGGGTGGATCTTCCCTTTTAGTACGTGCTGGGTTATCAAAGCAACACACGACGAAAATTCACAGTCAAGGATAGCGCTTTTACGCGGAACGATGAGCTTTCGCTACGCCGTCCACGCCGACGATCACCACCGACGCCATGTTTGCAGATAGGAGCCGGCCGGCCCGCGACCGGCACGACCGGCCTGCAACGCGCAGTGATACGTGCGCTTCCGCTCATCCTTGGGGAACGGGAAATTCACCCCCCCGCAGAGGAAGGCAAGGAGAAAACGTAGTCCTTTGTTTGTGAGACGATAATTGCCGTATTGCGTATTCTAAACTAGAAATATTTTACGTCTTGCGAAATTATCATGCGCAACATATTTAAATGAACTGAAAATTGTTTTTTTAGCGAAACTTTACAAAGACCGCCAAAATTTTCAAACATACGATGATTTTATTGGTCCTCGCAAGTACAGCAAAGAGTCCGCACATATTTTATTCCTGCGTGATTAATAGGCGGTTCTGCCTTCTAAAACTGAAGATACTCATTCACTGACACTTCCTTAACGCCATCACACCAAAAAGCGGCTTCTCCAAAAACCGCTTGAGTGCCCCTTTAATGGAGGAAGTGGGTTCTCAAAATTTATTTTTTGTTTATTGTCCTATCTCAACGATTTTTGGCACAGGCATGCAGTTTATTGCGCTGATGTCATAACTGCTATCAGATTTCAGATATCTCGATTTTGTGAGAAGTTATTAAGAAAATAAAATGTTAATTAGCTAATTTCAGGAAAAGTTTTTAAAAACAACCTTATTAAAATTTTAATGAAAAAAAGGTATCAATTGCTTCCTAAAGAAATACCATACAAGCTAAAGCTATTTTTATTTCTATAGCACCGTACAATCATGTAAAAAATTAAAGTGAACAGAAGACATACAAGCTATAGCAATGGCTAATAATGAACCGCCAGTTCTATGTACCAAAAAGTATCATAATAAAAATAGCTTTAGCTTGCAGTCTAGTTCATTCCAAAAAAAATAGTACCAAGTTTATAAAAATCGGTTGAGCGCAAGTGAATCAAAAAGCCTTCCTGGCCGGAGAATATACTAAAAAAACAAAGCTGAGGAAATAGACTTTGAAGTTTGGGTACGCAAAAGTAACAACATTGAAAGATGGGTGGAATGCCCTTGGTTTGAATTTCATACTAAGAGAGAGACACGGGTAGGGAAAACAGCCCGATCTGCAACAATTGGTTAGCCCTAAGAAGGGCTTTTTTAGGGGGTGTCTTCAAAACACCAGTTTGTGAATGGGCGATGGGCGTGCCCGACTCTCAGAGAAGTCCAGGACTATAATCCTGGTCTGTGCCTTGTGGAGAGTCTCTTCTTCATGCTGTCAGAGAACTCTTTGTTGTGCAGCCTCCGACTGTCCTTCTCGGTGCCTGACGAGGGCAGCCATGTAGCCCAGGCTGCTAGCCACGTTTGTCTTCCTCACTCCCTGGTTGAAGACGCTCACAGCTTCAGCAACAGCCCTCTGTGCCTGCCTTGTGGAGAGTCTCTTCTTCATGCTGTCAGAGAACTCTTTGTTGTGCAGCCTCCGACTGTCCTTCTCGGTGCCTGACGAGGGCAGCCATGTAGCCCAGGCTGCTAGCCACGTTTGTCTTCCTCACTCTCTGGTTGAAGACGCTCACAGCTTCAGCAACAGCCCTCTGTGCCTGCCTTGTGGAGAGTCTCTTCTTCATGCTGTCAGAGAACTCTTTGTTGTGCAGCCTCCGACTGTCCTTCTCGGTGCCTGACGAGGGCAGCCATGTAGCCCAGGCTGCTAGCCACGTTTGTCTTCCTCACTCCCTGGTTGAAGACGCTCACAGCTTCAGCAACAGCCCTCTGTGCCTGCCTTGTGGAGAGTCTCTTCTTCATGCTGTCAGAGAACTCTTTGTTGTGCAGCCTCCGACTGTCCTTCTCGGTGCCTGACGAGGGCAGCCATGTAGCCCAGGCTGCTAGCCACGTTTGTCTTCCTCACTCCCTGGTTGAAGACGCTCACAGCTTCAGCAACAGCCCTCTGTACCTGCCTTGTGGAGAGTCTC